GGTTGACTTCAAAGAGGCACTGAGAAGTTTTGGGGGGCAGTGAAGGTGTTCTTTACATCTTGATTGTGGTGGTGGTAGTTATAGGAGTACTTAAATTCGTCAAAATTCATGGAACCCTTAAAATGAGTGCATTTTATGATATGTGAATTATATCTCAACAAAGTTGATTTTAAAAGTTTAAAAAAGCCATCTTTTTGTTGTTGTTAAGCATTTATATGCTCTTTCTAAAACTTACATAAAAATACAAAGGCCCAGGGCGCCTGGGTGGCTCAGTCAGTTAAACGTCTGACTTCAGCTCAGGTCATGATCCCGGGGTCCTGGGATCGAGCCCCACATCGGGCTCCCTGCTCAGCGGAGAGTCTGCTTCTCCCTCCACCTCTGCCCCTCCCCCTGCTCATGCTCTTGCTTGCTCTCTCAAATGAATAAAAATCTTTAAAAAATAATTCAAAGGTCCTAGGATAGCTAAAATAGTTAAAGAATCATCCTTAAGGATAAGAACAATTTGGAGTATTTATACCACATGTGATTTTGATACTCAAAATGAAGCTACAGTAATAAAAATATAAAGATAGGCAAATAATCATAAATGGAGTCCACATGCACATATCAATTAATGTTCTACAAAGGAGCCAAAGCATTTCAATGGGAGACTCTTCAAATCTTTTTAAAAAATGAAGTACAGAACGACTGAATGCCCACATCGGACACGCCCTCTTTACTCAAGCATTAATTGAAAATGGATCACACACCAAAATATAAAATCTGAAGGTATAATGCTTTAGAAGAAAATGGCAGATGATCTTCCCAACCTTGGAGTGGGACAGAGAAAATACCTCTCCCCCCACCCAGAAGAGACACTGGACTTGCCCAAAATTATAAACTTCTGCTCTTAAGAAAATGAACACAAAGTAACAGACTGAGAGAAAACATTTAAATACTTCTGACAAGGACTTGTACGTACAATACACAAAGAACTCCTATGCTCTGGAATGGAAAAATAGTACAATTAAAAAATACACAAAAGGCCGAATACTTTGCAAACGAAGATCTACACATGGACAAGAAGTGTCTGAAAAGGTGCTCATTATTAGTCATCGGGAATGCAAATAAAAACCACGATGCCACTACGCACCCACCAGAGTAGGCAAAATTAAAGACGGGAAGCACTTAATATTAGCGGGGACACAAGCAGAGCTGTCTCACACATGACTGGTGTGGACCGGCACAGCCCCAGTAGAACCCACACACAGGGATTATTCCCCCGACAAACAAATTCACATGTGCGAACAGACTATACCAGAATGTTCACAGGTGCCTTACTGATAATAGCCCCAGGCTAGAGACACAAATGTTCGTGCAATGGGGGATGGGTAATCTGGCATATCCTTACTACGGAATTCGCTTTGACAAAAACCAATGCGAGAGCCAAAACAAACAAACAAACAAACAAAAACCGAGTAAGAGAAGCTAGGACAGAGTAATCTACAGCATGGTTCTGTTTATATGAAGTTCCACAAAAGGAAAAAACAAACTATGGTGAAAGAAACCTGAACAGGAGATGCCTCTTGGAGACAGGAACCAGCCGGGAAGAACAGAAAGAAACTTCCGGGTGATAGATGGGAATGTCCTATTCTCTGGTAAGGGATGGGTTACACGGGCAAAGGAAAATCTGCCAAAACTTACTGAGTTATACACGTAAAATCCATGCATTTCTCCATATGTAAACTATATCTCAATTTTTTAAATATTAAATTTATAGTTATTTCACACTCTACACAAAATGAATCCCACCTAGATTTAAGAGCTAAACTGAAAAATAAAATACTGGAAAAACTGCTGGAGAGTATTTTTATAATTTGGAAGCAGAAAAGGTTTTTCTAAATATAGTGCATAATCAGAAGTCACAGTCGCTTTTACCACATAAAAAGCTTAAATTCAGTGGGGGTACAAAGCAAAGAATATATAAAGAGTTCATACAAATTAATTAACGGAAACATGAACACCACAATGAAATTTTGCAAAACTTCACATTAGAGGAAAGGCCGATCTGCAACACATACAGAGACAGGTTGATCAACAACCAGAGAGTAAACTATAAAGCACTGAGGTATCATTTTGCTCTGGTTGATTGGAAGGAGTGGCAGCATGACAACGGGGTGTGTGAGGTGTGGGAAACATACCCTGTTGGTGGAGACAAAGGCTGGCGTACGTTTTATGGGCGGGTTTTTGGGGATCGCTTCCAGAACGTATGCTGTGGAATGCCCTCTGACCCCTTCTCTAAGAGAACCACCACACAAGGATGGCGCGTGGAGCTCTTCCTCCCAGCACAATGTCAGTCAACATCCACACACACAGCAGCGAGGACTTAACTGCAGCCACTCAAGGGGGTCACAGACAGGACAAACGTCCACACAGACGAAGGGAGGCCACGAAGGGGCACTGCTGGTGGGTTTCCTGGTTTCTCTCCGGTTCCCATGTGTTCTGTGTGCAGAGGTGTTCACATTCTAGCTTAGGCCTTGCCCCTCTGGAGGCCTCAGTCAGAGAGGGCCTCTCATCACCCCACCCCACCTCCAAGCCAGAGGCCCACACCACTACCTGCAGTTTGTGTCCTACTAGAGCAGAGACCCCTCTCCCCCCACCCCCAACCCCGAGCACCTGCCACAGGGTGGATTTAGGGACATCAACAGCTGGAGCTGAGGTGGTCACCGTGGAGCTCTCCAGGACCAGGTGACACAGCAGCCCCGGACACGAACATCAGGCTCCTCAAAGCCAAACCCTGTGGGGCCTTGTTTTAGTCGCCCACAACTTGCTGTGATGGTGTCCATTGGGGGCGGCGGGGTCCACTTACCCCCCAGGCCAAAAGTTTTCGACTAGACTGGGTCCTGATTCAACAGATAGCTGTTTGTACACCTAGCATCTGACCCAGTGCACAGGATTAGTTGCCTGCAAGGTAATGAGCTCAGAACCCAAGGCGGGGGATGCTGGGGGCAGGGCCACACGAGGCTGGTGGGGTCCGCAAGGCCTGAAATCCAAGCTCCAGGTGGACCCCCCTGCCACCCTACCCACTTGCCTCTGGGACGAGGCATCCTGTGGGCCCACTGCCCTAGCACAGCCCCCACTCTAAGGCACTACCCAGAGGAGAAAGATGACAGGCCTGGGGAGCCACGCCAGAGCCCTCCTGGAGGAAGGCGTGTCACCCTTCTGTAGGATCAGCCCCGCCTCTTTCCCACTTGGTCACAGACGCTCATGCACACCCAGGCCTGAGTCACCTTCTCAAGGGCCGAAAGGGAAGGCACGCTGCCTGGACTATCTGCGAAGTGCAGAGGAGCTGTTACTGTCCAGATAAATGTCTGACGATGTCTGAGTGACTTCTTTGTGTAAAAAACCAAGCACTCAGCTGTTTTTTCTTGAGTTTACAGGTGCCCGGGTGAGGGAGGCCAGCCTGGCACAGAACACAGAGGCAGTGGGTTTGGAACTAGGGGCTTCCTGCTGAGGGGTGGGTGCCACAGGAAAAAAGCCCCCCAGCCTCATCACCTTCAAAAGCAGACCTGATTCAGGATTCTGGGGACCTACCTGGCACTGCCCCATCAGCCTCCAGAACGATACCTGGGCCTCAGTGACTGGTGCTGGTCGTACAAAGACACACACAAACATACACACGCAACACGCACGCACACACAAAGCGACATGCACAGACTCCACGTGTCTGCCTTGGGGTGGGTGCAGGTGGTGTCCTCTGCAGGGGCAAGCTGCAGTGCAAAGAAGGCGTGTGCCTCCCAGTCCCCTGGTTCAGGCCCCAGCGCAGGACTGGACCCAGCCCACTGGTCCCCAGGCTGCGTGTGAGCCCGTGAGCGCCCCCACAGGCAGCACAGGTGTTCTGCAGAAACCAGTTGAAACATGATACCATAATAAAAACCTCATTTAAAGTACTTTTTTTTTTTATTGATTTCATTGAAAACAGAACAAGAAATGGTCTGAGCCAAAAGACTGCTCTTAAAACTGTCAAAAACATTTTAACAGAAAAAAATAAACATGACTGCATCATGAATGTTTTAGAAGAGCCGCACAAAACCCCACTGCTACTGCACTAGTTACAGTATTTAAAAAAGTATATGACCTGGCAGCCGTCACACAAAAGGTGATGGCAAATTTATTCCACGACAAGACTAACATTTTAAAAAAAGTTTTTTCCTGCATTTTATTCTAAAATCACTTTGTTCTCTTTATACAGTTGATAGTTTATTTTCACATGGTGAGTAGAAACCACACCAGAATCAGCACCGTTGTCTGTGTTTTGTGTTTTTTATTTGTCCTAATGTTCAATAATGGTAGAAAATAAATCAGTTTATTCATCATCATAGCATGTGGTTTAAAAATCAACAGAAGGTGCCAGCGTCGCTGAGCTGGCAGGGCTGGTGCGGGGTCCTCCGTGGGCCGCGGCCCTCCTGCACCCAACAAACCGCTTCCTTGGAAAGAAATGCATTAGAGGTCTGATATATAGGACTAGATATAGGACTTCTTTAAAAAGCAAACCCACATTTTCTCCAAAGTTAGGGACGGCTCGGCCCTGACCTCTCCTAGGTCGAGGTGGGGACAGCGTCTGCGCAGTGCCCAGGAACTGGCACCTGCCACGCAGGCCTTGGGCAGGCAGGTCTAACGGAGCAGCTTGCGGGTGACTGTGTCTTCGTGGGTGCCACGCGGGGAGCCTGGGCCCACAGGACTTCACCAACAAGCCCCACAGTGGAACGGGAACCAGGGGAGCAGACGGGGAATGAGAAACGTGGAAACGACAAAACCATCATCAGAAACTCACAAGGTCACGCCAGCGCGGAATCCCAGAGTGTTCCAAAGCGCCCGCCCCCAGCCCACGGGCCGCCACGCCGGGGCCTCGCAGCTGCGGCCCACGTCCCTGCAGCCCCAGGTCGGGGCCTTCAGGCAACCGCTTCTCCTTCCTCTCCAACCGCAGTGTGAACAGCACCGACGCTCGGTGCCCCAGGCCGGCTGCCACTCATAGGGGGTCGGCGGTGAAGGAGCTGGTGTCAGGCAGGCCATTCTCCTGGCCCTCCTGGGTGGCGCTGGCCTGCCGCTGCGCCAGGGCCGTGCTGGAGTGCCGGCACTTGGGGGAGCCACACCGGCAGCTGAACAGCTTGCCTTTGATGTCCCAGAAGCGCTCCCCATAGTCAAACCTAGGGAGAGAGTAGAGCTGAGGGCGGCATCTAGGCCCCACACCGCCTGGAAGCAGGGTGGACCCAGCCTGAGCAGAGCCATCCGTCCCAGCTCAGAGCTGTGGAAACACAGAGAACCACTGAGGATAAGCCTGTGTTGAGCAGCACGTGTCCACATCCCAGAAGGTCCCCAAACCCAGCCAGCCCCTGGGGACCGCGGCGCCTACCCCAGCTGCTCCCCAGCCTCAATCAGGCGGGTGCTGAAGAAGGCAATCCTGGGAAACCGCAGGTCCTGGTGTGACATGAACACGCGCACGGGCACCAGGTTGGGCTCGCAGTGGTGGTTGATGAAGCGGCTGACGTTCCCGTAGAACCGAGCATCGATGCAGTATACCTCGCCATCCTAGCGGGCGGGAAGGAGAGCAGGGAGCTCGAGCAGGCGTCTGTAGACCTCAGGCAGAAACACGACCCCAGAGCAGGGGCACGACAGGCCTCAGTGCTGCGGGGAGGCTGCCCAGTCCACACCACTAGTCTGGCTGCATGAGCCAGACACGGGCCATCTGATGCTCGGACGCCACCAGGAGCAGGAGGAAGGAAGCAGGGCTGCAGGGACCATGGGGTGGGGCAGGAAGCCAGCGTGCAGTGGGGGGTAGCTCCTCGGGGACTTGGTGATGGAGGAGCAGCAGATCCCAAGGAGTGGCTGGGAGACATGGAGTGTGTGGGCAGGTGGCAGAGGGACGGAAGCAGCACTCGGGCCAAGGGCTGCCAGGTGGCTCCTGAGAGGTGGTTACAAGCACAAAACAGGAACACCGCCATGTCCTGCTAACCCAGTGGCACAGAGAGGAGCCAGTGCCTAGGGAGTCCCAGGACCCTGCCTCAGCACTGCTCCCGGGATTACAATATGCAATGTAGCAGCAGGGACACTGAACTGACAGTGAGAAAGGGTGGTTGGCTTGGGGGCCTGACCTCACCACAGGAACCCTTTAAGTAGCAGAGTCTTCTCTGGAAAGACCCAGAGCACTAGGGCCTGAAGTCAAAGAGGCCACGTGGTGAGGAATGTGCATGGCCTGGGACAGCCATCGAAGTAGTGGGCATCTGCCCTGGGACGCAAGGAGCCGAGTCCTACAGCCCCTCAACAGGCTGCCGGCACTTCTCCCCAGAGCAGCCCCTCCTGCCCGCCCCTGGGGCCCTGAGCAGAGAGCCTGCTCACACCATGTCTGCCCCTCACAGTGGACAGCCAGTGAGCAGGGATCTTCTCACACGGCTATGTTTGTGGGAACTTATTACACAGCCACAGGAACCGAGGGCCAAGTCTGGGAGGAAGACCAGATATACAAGGAGGAGAAGGGGGCCTTCCAGGTGTGTGTCCTGTGGCGGGCAAAGCATTTACCAGAAGCCAAAGGATCCTCAGTGGTCAAGGGAAGACAAAAGGGTGACAAAGACGGGTGGTCTCTGACAACTTTCCCACAAAACCAAAGGCGTATGTGCCCCTGATCCGGCAATCCCGCCCTTGGCAGATCCCAAAGACACGCCAAACTCCAAAATGACTCACGTGGCACAGATTTTGGCCTCTGCCTCTAGATGTTATGGACTAAATGTGCAGGTGGCCCCACCCTGCAGGAAGCAGCTCCCCTCCTGTAAACAGCTCGAGAAACTGTGACCAGTACTGGAGGGCACGCAGCCTGGACGTGCGGAGCCCACAGGGAAGACCCTCGTGCAGAATCAAGAGCGAGTAGCTAGAACCCATGTCTGCAGGGCACAGTGGGGCTCAGACTGTTCTGTGCACAAGTCCCTGCCTGAGCCCAAGTCAGGACAGATGCCAGGATGGATGCCGAGGGCGCCAGGGGAGGCAGGTGGGCACCGCCACCTTGACAGAGGCGGAACCCACGCTCAAGCCCAGCCAGCCAGCCAAACAAAGCAAACGACACACGTCAGAGGCACACTGGAGCTGCCAACACATCAACACGGACAAAGGCAAGGAACCAAGGAGATAGACACATTCTAAAGAGAAAAGAAAAATCAAGAGTTCAGCCCTGAGGCGACCCAGATGCTGTGCTGACAGACAAGGACACTGCAGCCCCCGTCAGGCGGTCCCCGACAACGTAAGACGGAGCACGTCTCTCCGTGAGTGAGTATCTCAGAGATACAGAAACAACAAGAAAGAATCAAATGGAAACCCTCAGTCCAAGCTCCCACCCCGCCGCCCCCCCGGCCGTCAAAGCCAGCACGGGACGGCTGGGCACAGCCTCAGGGATTGGAGTGAGGGTGAGTGCCCCACAAAGTGGTGCCTCGTGTGCAGGATGGGTCCTGGAGATGCCACTGCAAGTCACAGCAAAGGCTGAAATCAACCTGAACATGCCCCAAACAATGAGAATGACGTGCACATACTCCTAATATGTGACCCCTGAGCCACGGGGAGCGCCTCAGAAACGGGGGGGGGGTACCACCTTTTCTGTAAGAAGGGCGAGGAAGTAAGAAACACACATGGACACTTTGTGTTTCTACAAAGGGTTACCTGTGGGGTAACACAAAACACGCAAAACTTTCTGAATATAACCTTTTCGGGTACTGTCTACTTTTAAAACACGTAAATATTTTACATAACTAAAAAATAGTATTTAAAATTCTAGAATTTATTATTTATTTTAAAACACTTTCTACCACCACCATGGGGCTCGAACCCACCACCTCAAGATCAAGACCCTCACGCTCCACCAACTGAGCCAGCTGGGCAGCCCTAAAATTCTAGAATTTAAAATGAACTAAGACAAATAAACACACCTAAACTAGGAGCCCACCCACACAGAGAAACGCTGCGCCAAGGGCTGCACGGCTGGTGCTCGGCGTCCTGGGTGGGCACATTCTAAGCAAAGACCTGGCACGCACACTCTTGGGGTGCAACGCCCCTCCAAAACCGCAGACAGCACTGGGAACCAGCACCTTTACGGGCGGGATGCAAGCATGAGAAGCAAAATTAGTCCAGAGTCAATGACATCCTGAGGGCAGCCAGCACCCTGGTGTCCTGACTCGGTATCCAAAAATCTCCTCCACTGCAAGGACCGGGGGCAGCTTAGAGAAGTCTGAGGCCGGACGTGGGGAACCAGATACAACAAAGCCAAGGGAGGCAAGGCCAGTGCAAACAGGCTCCACTGGGCACAGAAGCTGACGACAACTGGTCAGAACACTCAGTACAAAAAAATCAGGAGCTGTAACAACATGTCAAAGAGAAAGGAAAACAAGGCCCAAATCCCTTTACCAGTCACTCCCGCTCCAACCCTTCCTCAGTGGCGAGAACGTGTGTTGGTCTTGCCTGTCCCTGAGGGCTCACCAGAAAGCCCAGGTCCGGGTGGGGAAGATTTTTTTTCTTTCCAACAGAAGAATCTGTTATGAAATGTGAAAGGTGGAACGCCCCTCAGGGAGGGCCTAGGCATCAGGAGAAGGGCGGGCAGCCGAGGCTCACCTACTCCGGACCCGGGAGAAGCAGACCCTGCAGGTCCTCTGGGGATGCCTCTACCCTCACCCCGTCTGCCGGAAACACCAGAAGACAGAGAACAGGGACGCAGCCCCCAAAGGCACACACACAAACGCAGCTTCCTGTGGGACAGCGCAAGGGTCGGATGGCTGCCTTCTGTGAGAAAAAACGGACAGGACACAGCACAAGGAGGGTGGGGGCAAGCCAGCGGCGCACACTCTGGGGAAACGGAGGTCAGTCTCGTGAGGCGTGACAGTGACACCCCTGCAGGCGCACATGCTGAGCTTCTCAGGAGCAAAATGTCACATCTGCAACTAACGCCATGTCGTCGACACAATGGATGAAACAAAGTGAGATCTAAGGGGCGGTGTGCGTACGGCTCTCGACCACACGGGCTTTCTCTACTTCCTGTTAGGGCTGTCGTGACATAAATAAGAAACTGTCCACAAAGGCAAGAAACAGGAATCCTGGAGGAAGTGTCTTTTCCTAACTACCTGAGAGACCACAGGGCAGCCTAAAAGTGGGGAGGCAGGCACCTAGCGAGGGCGCGGGGCAGGCTGGTCAGACTCGGGGCAGGATGCATGAGGGGCACACGGAGGGGCGGGGCGTCCTCAGGGTGAGAAGCACACGACAGCAGAGGCCCTCGTGCCAGGAGTGGACCCTACCACAGCGGAGGCCACAGCCCATCTGTGACCCTAACAAAAGCAGCATCACCCAAAGCCTGCAGGACACACACAGCCCTCCCTCCATGCCAGGGGGATAAGCGGCAGGTTCCACAACCCCGGAGGCAGAGAGCACAAAGGTAAGTCCTCAACCCACTGGTCCCTGGGCCACACAGCCCTCCACACATCACCTGTACCTTCCTTAGCCTCTTGCACGGTGTCTCTAAGTAAAACTGTTTTTCTGTGGTTTACCCCGAGTTTTTGCTCATCTGCCCATACTCAGCTTAGAGACTCTGTGGGGGCAAGGGACACAGGTACACAGGGAAACAGGAGGGTTGCCCATCTTTGGAGCAAGAAGCTCTTCCAGACCTGACAGCCGCTCAGCGGGGCCAGCATTCGTTCATGTCCACATGAACACCGTATCCTTCCCACGATGAATGACATGCCTCGGGTCTGTAAAATGTCTCTCTTCAGATGTGTGTGCTGCTTGCTTTTTTAAAGTTTTTCTGATAAAGAAACTACCTGTCCCTAGTTCTAAGACAAAAACACTATGGGAATAGTGCCCCTGCAAGACTCCCCTACTCTGAGATGCTAAGAGTGCACAGGCACCCTGGTTAACCAGGGCAGATTCAGGCAAAGGAGGCTGGAAGGAGGTGGGTATTCAGAAGGTTCTAGAACAGCAAGGAGAGGGAGACCCTGGGGTCTGAGCACAGACCCAGAGCCCAGGACAGTCCAGGCCAGAGAGAAGGCAGGCAGCTTGGCAACAGGTGGTCAGATCCGGGAAACATTCTGAAGGTAGAGCCAGAAAGTCTCCTGATACCTTCGACGGCGGGTGGGGAGGGAGCGAGCAGTGGGCACATGGGCCCCGTGGGCACAGACATGGCCACGCAACGGGGACACAAAGTCTGAGCTGGAGCGAACCCTGGGAAGCTCTGGTGTACTGGTGGCCCTTCGTGCGCCAGAACGAACAAGCCACAGAAGCAGGCCGTGGGGAGCGGCATGCAGGGCCCAGCCTGGCGGGGTTGGACTGAGGGGAGACTGGAAGGCCAGGAGTCGGGGGGCGGGGAGCCACGGGCAACTGTCAGCATGAGAGAGGGGCCTGCTGGAACAGCTTCCCCATGAGGGGCTGGGGTCTGCCAGGGCGGGCTGGCTCCATGCCCAGACACCAGCCAACGGGAGCAGATCCAATGCTGTTCAGACGCAACGCCCCTAAGTGGTTCAAAGATGGGACACAATCCCGGGCAAATCCCAGCAGCCTCGTTTTGTACGAACACCCTGGTTCTAAAATGTATATGGAAACGCAGAGTACTCCAGAGAGCTACAAGGACCTTTGAAAAGGAACTACCTGGCTTCAAGATTCCCTCTGAGTCAACAGTAGTGAAGAGACAGCGGTACCGGTGTGAGGGTCAGCAAATAAATCAAAGGAACTAAACACAGTCCAGGCACAGACCTACGTTCGACGGTCCAAGCAGAGGCTTTTCCGGCCAACGTCCAGCCGGTACTGGAATCACCATATATTCACGTGGACAAAGAGGAACCTCGAGCCTTGTCTCAAACCACACACACAAAAGATGGATTGCAGATCTAAAAGCTAAAAATCTGAAAATCCTAGAGAAAGGAGAAAATCTTCACAACCTTGTGGGAGACAAAGAATTCTTAGGACACAAAAAGCACTAAACGATAAAAAAATTCTCTGTTCTACGGAAGACGTTGTTAAGAAAATGAACAATCAAGGCACAGGCTGGGAGAAAAAGACACAGCCGTGTCTGACACAGGTTGTGACTCAGGAAACCTAAAGAATCCTTACAACTCAGGAAGAAGGTAAGTAGCCCAATTAAACAATGAGCAGTAAGTTTTAAAAATTCCTGCACAAAAGAAGATATAAGAGACCAACTGGCATGTGAAAAGATGCTCACACCGATAATCATCAAGAAAATGGGGTGCCTGGCTGGCTTAGTCGGAAGAGCATATGACTCTTGATGTCGGGGTTGTGAGTTCGAGCCCCCTGTTGGGTCGTAGAGAATACTTAAAAATAAATTCTTTAAAAAAGAAATCATCAAGAAAGTGCACATTAAAATTGGGAGTGTCTGAAATTCTCATTTGTTGCTGGAGGAAACGTAAAGCGGTAATAACCACTTTGGGAAACTGCCTGCTGTTTCTTTTAAAGTTATTAAATATACACTTTAACCCAACAGCAGTAATCCCACTGCCGGGAACTACCCAGGAGACACGAAAACTCACACCCACAAAAAACAAGCTCATAGCAGGGTTACTCCTAACAGCAAAACCTGGAAACACCCAGGTCCATCCCCAGGCAGTAGCACAAAGCGGCATGGCCACTGGTGGGTCAGGGGACCCGCCACCACCTGGGTGGATCGAAAAAGCCAGACACGGGGGGTGTACACGCTCTGGCCCCACCTACAGGAAAAACCCAGCCGCAGAGACAGATGGTGGCTCCACGGCCAACCAGGGTGGGGGCACCGTGGGGCAGAGGAAGTGCTCCAATCTTGCTCCTGGTGCTGATTAGACCGTACACACATTTGTCAAAACTAAAATCACACGCTTAAAGTTCACTGAACGTCAATTAATTACAATAAAATTGACCCAAAAAGTAAGATGATCAAAAACGTATCAGATAAAAAAACCCAACAGAAGATCTACAGGATCGCACACAGGGCACCAAGGAACCTTAGTGGGGGCAACTGAAGATGACAAACAAGTAGAGGGATCCACCATGTTCATCACCTGGAAAAGCAGGTGGCAGAAACCCCAGTGAGCCCTAGCTCATGGGTTCAATGCCGCCCTAAGTTGTACAACTTAAAACAGAAACTGAGAGAGACCAAGAAGAGAAAGACATCCCTAAAGACCCCAAGGTAAAAGGATGTAAGCTTAGGGTGATTAATATGGCGTCAGCAGCGGGACAGAGGGAGCCCCGGGCGCACATGTCGCCTGCGTTATGGCGGAAGCCATGCTGCGGGGCACTGGGTAAGGGGACGACCCCCTCAACAAATGGTCCTGAGTCACACACACAGCGACGTGGGGAAGCCGGGCCCTGCAGCAAACGCCTACATGCGGAGGCTGAGTGTAACTTCTGCAGACGCCCCACAGGTGCCTCTGTACGGTCTTGGCTGTAAAAAGCCTGGCTTCACTTGGGATGTTACCCACACCCACAGTATGGAGGAAGAGGCAGAAAAATTGGACTACAATAAAAATAAGAACTTCCGTTCATTAAAACATCAATAAGCCACAGAGGAAATACACCTGCGAGACACAAATGTCACGAAAGAGCAGTTACCCCAGAACCTGTAAAGGACAGCCACAAACCATAAAAGGCAAACAGCTCTAGAAACACGGACGGACAGAAGACCAGGCAGGCGGTCCAGAGGGGACCTGGGGGAAGGGGCGCAGCAGCCCTTGAGCACTGTGACCACCCAGGACACAGGTTTCTCCCCCCGGAACGTGGCTTTCTGAGAGCCAACTGCAGGGGCAGGGCTGGGGGGCCGGGAGGCACGGCGAGAAGGGCAGCTACTCCGGGCTCTGGTGGCTGTGGTTAGACGAGAGCCCTGGGTCCCCACTTCCACCCTGACCGTGCTCCCGGATGTTCTTAACCAGGCGAGTCATGAACTAGGAGCAGCATGGGCACCAGCGTTAGGGTGAGGATGGCGTGAGGCAGCTTCCAAACGTCCCCCGGAAGCCCGGGTCCTGGGGTGAAGACCAGGGCCCACCCACTGTCCCCACAACCAGGAGGGCAGCTGGGACACACGAGGCTCCCGTTTGCTCGTCACCGTGCGCACAAGGCCCCTCTGACGGCCGTGGGCTCTAACCCGGATGAGCAGCTGGGGGGTTTAGAGGGCTGGCAGGATGCGTCCGGGCTTCACGTCCTCAAGCGAGGCAGGCTCCTCTCTGCACAAGCCCTGGGACCGCCCAGGTAAGTGGCCCGACTGCAAGCGCCCTGCAAGCCCTGAGCACACAGGCACGCCGGTGTGGCCAGCGAGGACACTGGGCCGCTGTGGGCGAGCCTCCTTACCGCTCCCACGCCGCACGGCCGCAACCAGCTCTCTACGCCCCAACCCCTCCAAACGCGTTACCTTGTTGTCAAGATCAAAGAGGTAAGAGTCTTCTTCCCGAACGTCAGCTTCCGAGTCAGAGATGAGCTCCCCGACATACCTGCGGGAGGCAAGGCGCAGGTGAGAACAGCAGACGGCAGGACCCTCACCCTTGACCACAGGGCAGTCATGGCAGAGCCCACACCACCCCCCCAAGCTGGCCAAACGTTCTGGAGAATATGCCTGTGACTGAGCTGGGATTTAACTTCAGGTCCCAGAAGATGATGACACAGACACCCCTTCTCTGACCAGGGATCCGGAATGACACTCCCTGAAAACCACTGAATGGTACCAACCTAAAGGAGTCATGACCTGGTGAGAGGCTAAGGGCAGGTAAAAAGCCAGGGAGGTGGGCAGAGGGGTGGAGACAACATGAACTTGGTTTTCAGGGGCACCCACGAGTCCCAGGCATGGACAGGGCCCTGGCAGCCCCTCACCCTATGATGCTGTGTTGTCCCCAAAATGGCAGGGGTAGCCAGCAGCCCTGGGGTGACCCCGGCACGCACTCACTTACTCGCAGACGAAGGTGCCCAGGGGGATATCCTGCAGGGACCGCACGCCCCAGCCCATGTTCTGTGTCCGGTAGAGCTGCAGCCTTGCCCTGGAAAACAGGCCAAGTTCCCTGATGCTCAGCTCACGTACGGATTACACCGCCAGCCATGGCAGCAAACAGAGCGCAAGATACTGTCTTCCTATCGCGAGAGCGCTTCCCATGCAATGAAGCCCACAGCCCACCCTCAGGGAGCAGGAGACTTGGAATTTGGTCCGACTGCCTGTGTCTTCATCTGTAACACGGGGACAGGTCTGGCCGAGCCCCCGGGTGGCAACGAAGAGCACAAGGCACTGACACTCTGCTGGCCCCTCAGAGAGGTTGGGGAGCTCTCCCCAGCTCAGAGCCATGAGGACCCACCTGCCCCTTTGTGTGTCCAGGGGCCCTGGGGGAGACGGACATGTCCGTCTTCCCCCCAGAGAATGTCCTGCCAACAGGGAGAAAGGGACATGTGCGCTGGTCAGAAGCATTCTCTGACCGCTGATACTGAGAAACCCTTCGATACCGTGAAACTAGACTGATGTTGTGCATGAATTTCCCCTCATAACTCAGACGGCCCAAAGAGGTCTTCTAATTCTCAAGCACGTGCACAAGAGGAAAAGTTCATGGCCAGGGGACGCTGGAGGAAGGGGTCTGAGCCCAGCCAGTGAAAGGGGTGCTGGCCAGACCTCACCGGACCAAGCACCCCAGGTGACTGAAGAACAAGGCATCTACGCAGTCTGAAACATTTTATACCAGAGCACGTTCACACTGTTGTTGCAGAGACACTCAGACAACACAGAATATTTCAGAAATGGTTTGAGTATTAAAACAGTTGCCATGCACGTGTTAACTCGAAGGCAGAGGCAATGTTCGTGAAGAGTCTGTTTCCTGGCCTTTGCCTCCCTGGTTCATGGACAGCCCAGTCCATGAACCAGGGCAGCCCAGTCCATGAACTCAGGCCTCACCGACATCCCAGCTGCTCAGACGCAGGACTTGTGCTATTTACACAAGCTTGTAACACCACCACAGGACAAAGGGCTCAAACAAGACAGCGTCTCTACTGCAAACACACACGTGCACTGCAACACATCCCACCCTTGTCTGTATGAAATACCCGTAAATACAGCGAACTTCCCAACAAACCTGAGATCATTTTCACACTCTGAAAGCAGAGACCCCTGGCATCACCCTGCACTGAAGGGCATAGAACCCTACCCTCAGGCAGGGCCTGGCAGCCCATGCTCACCTGAGGCCGTTCTGCACGACTCGGTTCCGGCAGCTTCTCCAGCAGGAACAGGCATGGTTGCACTCAAAGATCAAAGGCGGCTCCGCCATGTTGAACTCCGGCAGCAGCCGGCCGTCCTGGGGACAGACGTGCAGTCAGGACCAAGCATGGCTCACCATTCACGCTAAATAAACTGACACCAACACAGTTTTACTAACTAAAACAGGTATAGAAACGATGGTTTCCGGTCAAACTTCACAATGGGGGCACCAGTGTCCCGTTACCCATTCGTGCTCTGGACAGGAAGCATCAAACCAGGAGCGTACACAGGTTTACAGGATCCGTCTGCCCTGGTCGGCCTCCCTCCTTCTCCCTGGAACTCTCCCAGCCTCGCCAAGGCCACCGGCCCACAGGCCTCTCCACGTCCTTCAAGGGGTCAGCGCCCCCCGGACCACTGCCCACGCTCACCACCGCACCATGCTCTTGGCCTTGCAGTCTGCAGGCCCACAGCTCTGGCAGCGACCCGGCCACCTGCTTGCCCGTCCTACACCCAGACACGGCAAAGCCACTGGGCGACAAAGCAGGGCCTCGCAGCTGAGTCTGAAGTCCCCGTGGCTTCAGAGGCTGCTCTGTACAGTGAGAACTTCCCTCAGAATGCTCGCTCCCCCCGACCTTCAGCATAGCAGTGCTTCACAGAGAGCACACAGCACCAGAGTGAGGGCCACAGCCTTTGGCTTGGCAGCCACAAACACCCCCTGCCGTGCCATGCCCCTCTGCTCCCAAGGTGACTCTGGAGACAACCGTCTGCTGTGGTCTTGTCCCTACCCCAGAACACCCTGGCTCCTGCCCCCACCGACAACCTCTGAACTCCCAACACCAAGGGCATTTAAGCTTCTTCTCTTGGACACCGGCTTCCAGAGCCAGCTCCTTGTCAGCTGGCTCCTTGTCAGCCAGCTCCACAGACAGCCACGCCCAGGCGGCCACAGAGGCTGGCTTCGACCGGTCTGCGTTTCTACAGCGGCTCACCTGCAGCCCTCCTTCCCAAGGCCGGCTCACCGCCCCGGCACGCCCCGCCCGCAAGCTCACCTTGTCATACCAGCAGCGCATACTGAGCTGGCCACACATGCAGTTGCTGGAAGAACAGTCGTCGATGCACACGCAGTACTGCGGGGAGACAGCTCGTCAGGTGGGGGGGCCGCTCTCAGCCGCGCTGCACGATTCTGACACGTGCTCCCAGAAAGCCAGGCCCGCATGGAAGAGGTGACCGGTTCAAACGTCTGCATTCTCAAGGACACCAAGGGGCGAGCAGCCCCCGAGGAAGAGGGCATGCAAGCGGGAGAGGACACCCAGCCACTAAGACACAGAGATTGCACGAGGGGCTCTGGACGAAGAGCCCAAAGGGAAGGGGAGGAGGCAGGGGGGTCAGCGACGTGGGGCCAAGAGGCGGTGAAAGAAATCCCGAGGCCGGCACTTGAGGCCAGCCGCTCCGTGGGAAGGGAAAGGCCCAGGGCCACAGTCCTGCCCTGAGGGCCCACGTCCAACTTCAACGCCAAGAGGAGCTTGGAGGCTGGGACACTCGAGGCAAAGCACAGGCTCCTCTCACTTGCGTGGCCCCCAAACCACCACTCACCGGGGGACGCTAGGCACTGCTCTGGGGGCTGGGGACCCAACACGGGATGCAGGATCCACTTTCAGGAAGGATCTTTATCTGCCTTTCAACTCTTTAGTGGAAGGCGATCACCGTGAGGGAAACGCCTGTGGACCCAGGCCCCAGAGGCCCACCGCACCCTGCCATCACTGACCTGCAAATGGGTGATGTTTCTGTCAATGTTCATGGGAGACGTCACACAGTTCTGAGAAACATACTTGTAGTTGCTGGGGCACGGCTCGCTGTCCACAGCATTGACACACGGGATGGGGATTCGCTCATAGCCTCGAGCAATGTCTCTGCCACCGGAAAGGGGGGACATTACCTTTCGCTGTGACAAGTGACACCCCAGCAGGGCAGCCGCCGAGCCCTGGGCCAGGCACTTTGGACTCAGGCCAGGGGATGCCTCAGCTTGGACAGAAGCTTTTGTTTCAAACTCTTCAAACCCCATCTGTCACCCTTTGCCTCAGAACGGTCTTCTCACCTGCTCACCGTCTTCTCCATCGGGACAGGCCTGTCGGGGGCTGCGTCTCGCAGCGCCCGGCTCATCTGCAGTGCGTCCCACACCTGGGAGTTGAGGCTTGCACACTGCAGGGGCGTCTCTCCCTCCTTGTTTTTCAAGGTGACATCTGAATCCCGAGAAAGAAAGAGGCTAAAAGGAAAAATGTAAGCCAACAAAACATTCAGACCTTAATTTAAAAGACAGGAGATTTATGACTTTAGAAGGTAAAAATAAAGGGAACACATCATTCATCTTGATATTAACCCTGCTGACCAAGTGCTTCTAGAAAGATCTGCCCTGACTCACCAGGAATACACTACATTACTCCTTTCCCACATTTACGGTCAAAAGTCACCTCAGCTTTCTTGTCAGGAAGCGTGTGTAAAGAACTAAGGATGGTATTTGAGGGTTTTTGGCTTTTCCATTCAAAGGCATGCTCAAAGATGAACAGGGCCAGCATGAGGCGGGCAAACCACGCTGTGTACACGGTCAGCGCCCTGCAGGCGAGTCAGAACCGGATAGAGTGGCAGCACAGTGGCCCTGTGAACTGCCCCTCCGCAGCCCCACCCAGGGGCCTCACACCACAACCCGCTCAGCTGAGCTGCCGCCAAGGTCCCAGTCTGAATGGGCGTGTGTCCCACAGCAGGGCATACCCTCATTTCCAGGTGAAATGGGGGGACCTGAGGTTGTGCAACTGGGCAGGACTGGGTCCTGAGCTTCCACTGAGAGCAGAGCGAGGACAACTCCCCAGGACCCCAAATGTACCCACCCACATGTGTGTGACATAGGAACAGGCTCTGAGTGGCAAGTGGAGAGCACTAACATCTTCATCCCTCCTGAACGGGGCCTGTCCCCTCCCCCTTGATGGGAGGTGCTGGGTGAGACTCAGATCTAAGTATTCGGGGAGTTTTCACAATGATCCTCCCTGAACCAGAAATAGCCATGCTGACCTCACACGTGGAATGGGAGACTCACACCTCCACCTGCTTGGGGAAGGACCTTCCCTTGGGGGACCTGGGGTACCCGGGAGCCTTGCAGGGACTGCGTGCAGCGGGACCACTCACAGGACACAGGCGTAGCGGTCCTCCCTGGCAGCAATGTGCAGGGGCGAGTCTCCGTGGACGTTCACGGCATGGAGGTCACACCTGGCAGCCAGGAGGATCTCGGCTATGTCCACACAGCCCGAGAACGCAGCCCAGTGCAGGCAGATGTTCTCCTCCTGCACAGACAGACGGCGCAGCGCACCAGAAGGAGAGCAGAGACCTGGCTGAGTGCTGGGGATGCTTCCTTTCTTGTTTTGTTTTCATTGTAAAAGTAATGTAATTAGAGTACTGAATATTTTAAAAATAGAATAAAAAATCATCTGGAATTAGACCAATCTAAACACATTAGTAACATAACATTTGGGAATACTCTGCTTTATCTACTTTTTAAAATCATATTCACTTTGGAACAGAAGTACAATTGCAGGATAGGACAATCCGTGTAAGATTTGAAAAAAATAAAAGGTAGGCAAATTCGATTGCATTAAAATTTTACTTCATAAAACCTCTGTAAAATAAAACCTTTAAATCAAAGATCAGAAAAAACCATTTGTGCTGTAAATAAGCTATACGTGACTTACAATAATCACAGTTTATTAGACTGCTACACTAATTCTGAAAACAAATGCGCAAAACGTATAAAAATTTAAAACTTGTGTTGAAGATGAGGAATACACATATATACAGGGCAACGTGCAGCCTTGTCAGGTGGGAAATCAGCCTAAATTAGAATGGTGACACAACAGCTAACCTACCACACTGGGGACAAACGAGAAAGCCACTCTGACCCCTCCCAGGCTGACTGCCCTGTGCTCACTGCAGGTGGCGTGGCACGGACCACCGTGCAGGCCGAGCTCACGGTCATGACCTACTCAGCCCTTTCTTTACCGAACCTTTAGTTTGTTCCTGTCTTCCTCTAGAACACAAGGCAGTGAATGTTTCAGTCCTTTTCTTTTTCTGACTTGGTCTCAGGGCTTAACCCCTCAGAGGCGGCTTAAACATTGATTGCCCTCCTGGCAGAGTGGGTGCACCACTCAGGGGGCCCCACCCCTCAAGAACCCCCAATATCTCACAGGAGCCAAAGTCAAGCCTGGCTGTCCACTCGGCACCACCTCAGGGGCCTCGGCGGTACCGAGGCAGAGCCCCGCACAGTGCAGGCCCCCGCTCCGCCCCATGTCAGCCCCAAAACCCGTGGGACTGATGGGCCAGCTACATGATGCTGCCTGCCTCGGTCCTGCCCCCCCCCCACCAGGGAACCCCCTGTAACGCTCCGGTGCTCCGCATATAATCTGCCTCCCAGTCCCACACTCGGAGAGCATCCAATGCTTCCAGCTCAATGAACTAGAGGAAAGAGAAAAGTCAAACCGTGTGGTCCTCTCTGTTAGCAAAACAGCAGCTAGCCCCAAGCACAGGCTTCACCACAGACTCCTCTGTCAGCCTTAGTGTTTTCTGAAAAGCCTGGATTTGCCTGGGGCTTCCTTTCCTGGACGTTGTTCCGAGACTCCTTCTACCCTCTCATCTTTCCATTGTCCAAACATCTGCAAGCTCCAGAACAAAATGTGGTTTCCTTAGGGTCCTCTTTTCTCAGTCCTTCATGAGAAGGATTATGATTTTATAACCAGAATTACAGGCTGAGACTGTCCCCGTCCACCTAGGCTCCTCTTATCATAGGCACGTGCAGTCCCAGACTAGGTGAGGTCTGCCTGCTATATTACAACAGGCCTGACCCACGCATCTGAAGTGACAGACGGCACTTTGGTTCTGGGAGAGGCTAGGCTGGGCCAGAGGGACCATCTGCATTTACCTTCTTGCCTGAAAGAACCAAATAGTCAAAACGTGTGAAATAATGGTTTTCAGGACACTGGACATCAGGCGATGTAGTACTGTATCCCTGAGAGCAGAAACAAACAAGAGGGCCTGGGTCCGCCTGCTCACTGTCCTGAGATCCAGGCCTCGGAGCAGGGAGGGGACCAGAAGCCCCGAGACAGGAACTGAGAGCCGGTGGCCAAGGCAGCAGAATGTGGGGCTGGGAAAGAGGCCTCTGGAGATCTGGACATTCCCACCTTGGACCTCTAGGAGGACACACCCCAAAGCCGAGGCATAGAGGGCTCAGCGCTAGGACCCACACAAGAGAGATGACCAGCACTAGGCTGAGGCCTGCTTGAACCCATGTAACAAACCCAGGAAGCAAAACCCAAAGCAGACTATTTCTAAGTTAACTTTGCTGCACCCAGAACAAGGCTCAAGACCCTTCCAGGAATACAGAAATTCACAGCAAGGTAAAATTCACAATGTCTGGCATGCAACCTAAGGTTACAAACAAAACTTTTAGAGCTGACAAGTACAATGTCTGACAGAAACACACTGGGTAAGATTAACAGCATAATAGGTTGTAAAGAAAAAATTACTGAGCTTGAAGACACAGTGAAAGTGCAATAAAACCAGCAAAACAGCTTTAAAACCAGATAAACTGCAATCCACAGTGAAAAAAATAATTGAGGAAAATGAAAAGAGTATCAGTGAGCTGGGAACAACTTCAAGCCACCTGATAGTCACAGAACAGGGACCTTTGTGAAGCGGGGAGCAGGCAGGAAGAGCTCTGGAAGGAATGAGGACCTCGCTGACACAAGCTTCACAAACCTTCCTGACCTCATACATGCAACACACACACAAGTAACACAAGGCGCATCATAATCAACCACTAAAATCTAGTGATAAAGAGAAAATCCTAAAAGCAGCCAAAAGAACGCAGATGCACTATATCTGGAAATATGGACAAGGCACCAACGAGAATTCCCCATGGGGAAACTCCTCGGTGAGGACGCAGAGAGGCTGTGTGTACAAAGTACTGAAAGAAGCTGTCGACCAAAGTCCACACCCAGCAAAACATCTCCCAAAGTGAAGCCAAGATACGGAGTCTGCAGACAGGAAAAGCTGCAAGCACTTGTCACGGGCAGACCGGCACCCCAGGACACAATAAACGAAGTCAGACGTGTAGAGGAAAAACAACCCTGGAATGAAGGACCTAAGTATCAGCAGGCGCTGATCCCTGAGACTTTCGTCACTACAGTGTTTCCAAAAGATCACCAATTGTTGAAACAAAAGTAACAACCTATTGCGGTGCTGGTACAGCGTCTGAGAGCAACAGCATGAGGTTTGGGAGAAACGGGACACCCTCTGTGTATGTAACACAGCATTTTCTCTTAATCGAGAAAGCATGGCGCTGGCATAAGGACACACACGTGTAGGCCAATGGCACAGAAGACAGAGCCGAGGGACGGAGCACACGCATGTGGACAAAGGGGCAAAGTCAAGTCTATGGAGAAGGGAAATGGCGCTGGGACAGCTGGACATCCTAATGCAAAACAAACTACTATAAGAAAACACGGAAGAAAGTCTTTGGGATCTTGGGTCAGGCAATGATTTCTTAAAGAGAACACCAAACATATGATCCATAAATAGAATATAATTAATAAACTAGACTTTATCAAAATTAAAAAGCATCTGCTTCTCAAAGACAGTTGCTAAGATTTGGAAAACATCTGATAAAAAGCACTTGTATGCAGAATGTACAGCAACTCTTTAAACTGAAGAATAAGAAAATAAATGATCCAATAAAAACTGAGCAAAAGATCTGAAAGGACCGCCCCCTCCCCCCCCCGCCCCGAGGACACAAACTAACCACAGTAAGTGCTGGGGAGGCACAGCCTCTCAGGCACAGGCACTCTGGAAGCTGGGCAGCTCCTTCAACAGGTGACCCAGGTTTTATGGGAGAGAAATGACAGCCGGGGTCCACGCAAATACACATGCGTGCATGTCCACAGCAGCTCTATGTGTGACAGCCAGAACCCAGAAAACCCCCATGTCCGCGACCCGGTGAAGGACACCTGAGCTGACCTGTCCGCACAATGGAACGCTGACCCCCAGGCTGATGTTGCCTGAGCAACAATCACACTGCATGGATCCGCCTACGGAAAGCTGAACTCACAAACTCAGTGACAGACAGTGAAGCAGACGGTGGCTGGCTATGAAGCGGCAGGAGGAAACTTCTGAGAGTGTCGTGCACTGTCCTGACTGTAGTGATGGTTTCTGGGGTTAACTCTCATCCAACTGGACACCTTAACTGGTGCACCATTTACACATCAATAAAACTGTTAGGGTGCAGTAACAGTGCTGCTTTGTCACATGAACAACAAACACGCAGTCTGGTCCACCCTCCTGCTCCCCGAGGACCACCACCAGCACCAGCGCTGACACCTACTGGACCCTGTGAGGCCGTCTGCTGCCCTGCACCCATATGCTCTTGATACCCTGCCCAGCGAGGACACACAGCTGCAGCTGCTCCAAGCACTCCATGCTTGAAGGGGGCTGCTCACGATGTGCCACGAAGCGTCCACAGGGCAGCGTCTGACTGCCCTCTGCTGCAGCCAGGCTGGAACCCATCACACCTCTCCTCACTACCCTCATCCAAACTGCCCTGCGCCTCCCAGCCCCCAGGTCCCCGCAGGCAGCGCCACTGTACTGACCCCAGCTCTGAGGACATTCACAGAAACACCCCACAGCTGAGCCACGTGCTGCAGGCCCAGATGCTGGCCTCTGTGCTGACGCTCCTGGTTTCAGGGCAGGGCAGGACCTGCTCACAGACGTGGGGAAGGGTCCCAGTGCCGAGCAGCCACGATGAGTGACCAGGCGGTGCTCACTGCTCCCACCCCTTCTTTAAGCGGGGATCTGGAGAGCCCTGTTCCGCTCAGGGCTCAGAACCAAAAGACACCACTGACACCACGTGGCTCCCTACCTTGGGCACTCGGGCTCCATGCTGACTCACACCCTACTGAATGGTGTGCTTGCTTGGAGAAATCATGTCTTACTGTTAACTGCTTTCTTATTTCATTATCAATTTAACGAGTTTGTGCTACATTTTCCATTTATGGCTTTTGGTGACTCTCTGTAACAGCCGAAACAGCTCTGCAGGGCACTGTGTCTGTCCGCCCTGGGACCCCTGTCCCTCTGCCTTGTTCCTGAGTGGGTCCCCAAAGAACTTTCCAGAAACACCCTTTTAAATTAACCAGAGGGGCACCTGGGTGGTTCAGTCAGTTAAGCGTCTACCTTCAGCTCAGGTCACGATCCCAGGGTCCTGGGATGGAGCCCCGCACTGGGCTCCCTGCTCAGCGGGAAGCCTGCTTCTCCCTCTGCGTCCCCACTTGCTCGTGATCTCTGTCACTATCTCGGTCTCTCTCTCTCTCTCAAATAAATAAATAAAATCTTTAAAAAAGTTATAATATATAAATTAACTAGAATCACCTCCTATCTGATATACGGGCTGGAGGATTACTCCCAGAGGGACTGGCAAGTTTTCCGACCTTGGCCCCATAACCCTGTTTTCTGAAAACAATTATGTCCCACAAAACTAGCCATCAACACAAGCACCTTAGCTCTCATGGCCTGAGAACACGGTGGCTCCCTTTCTTTCCTTCCTGGACAGCAACACAGTACAAGTTAGTGCTCACAGGCTGCCTGCCCAGGTGTGGGGTGTGCCCTGGGCTCCGTGGTCCTAATCATAGACATGGGAGTCAGTGACGCAGTCACAGTCCAGGTTTGCCTCTAAAAAGGCAGGTACTATCCACAGGGCAGGTCTCAGGAACCTCTGTCCCTCAATCTCCACCCAGCAATTGGCCAACACACAAAACAATCCCAGGAAACCACAGTGGGTCCAGGGCCCACTGGAAACCTGGGAAAAAAGGGCAGAGCCACAGGCAGGCTTCCAAGAACAAGAACCTTCAGCTGCCAGCTCTGTACACCCTGGTCCCTCTGTCCTCCTCCAGGACCCGCTGCCCTGAGAGGTGTTCAGGACCAGCGACAGCCAGAGACTCACATTATCCCGGATGTTGATGTCGGAACCCTTGGACAGCAGCAGCTTCACGAGCTCCACATGCTTATACTCAGTGGCCCAAATCATGGGTGTCCAGCCGCCGTCATCCTAATTTCAAAAAAAAAAAAAAAAAAACAACACAACACACACACAAGATAAAAAAAAACAACAAAATCCATTACAGCTCTACAGACAAGTAACGTGAAGCACAATCTCACTCAGGACCTGTAAGACAACTCCACGAGACAGGAACCAGTCCAAGTCCCCATTTTGTGGATGAGGAAACCTAGGCTCAGGGTGTAGCCCCAGGGGTCTCAGTGAGTACAGGACGGAGCCAGAACCTCTGCTCTGAGGGGAACGGATGGATCCGCCAGGAGACCTCACCCCTCTGAAGGCTGGTGGGCAGTCACCGCCAGGATAACACTCAGCACACCGGAGTGCACCTGCTTGGACCACGTAAGGACCGAGAAATGCTGACCAGACCACCCCTCCCAGACCAGCAGTCCAGATGGTGGGTAGCCAGATCCTAAGCATGAAGCAGGGGCAGCTGCTAACAACTGCAGACAGACAGATATCCAAGCCCAGAGACTGATGGAGGCTGTGCCCAGTTCCCACTTCTTCCTAAAGGACGGGAAGCAAGAAAGCCTGCCCCGGCCAACCCCACATTAGGATCCATCATGGTTCTGATGAGTTGGCTTTCTACCATCCACAAACCTAGGCCTCTCTCCTTACTCAGTGGTGGTGGGTAGTTTTATTTAAAACAGAAAAAGGCAACTCTTCAGGAAATGAGTATCACGTTAACCAACTCGGGGTCTGGTGGCAGAAAGCTCAACCCTCCCTAACACCTCCCCAGCGGCTTCCTGTACCCGCCCCTCAGCTGCCACATCTCTCTGGGAGACATGTAGTCAGGCCATCCCTGTAGGCTGGCTGTGCGCACCACCTGGGCCCTGGGGGCACAGCAGGGACAAGCAAGCCTCAGGGAGCAGAGCCCAGCCCAGCCCAGCCCAGGGGAAGAAACATACAAAACGGAACCAAGTGGGAGACAGAAAATGAAACAGGGGAGGGGTCCTGCCCACGGACCCTGTGAGAGCAAGAGGTGGGCCAGGCGGCACAAGGCAGGGAGCTGTATTTCTGGGCCACTGGGGAGGGTCTCTGTCAGGGTGGCTTGTAGAGTGCTGGGTGGGAGGCAACGGCTGGACTAAAAGATGGGGCAGAGCCTGTGAGCCAAGACAGCCTTTCCAGGGCCCAGAGTCACATGGGAGGGGAGGGGTCTGGGTCTCAGCGAGTGGGAGGGAAGCGTGCTCACTTGCTCTCCCGAGTCACTGGCTAGACGCACATGGGACCCCTCCTCGTGCCAGGGGCTACATGCCACAAAAAGACCCTGCCCTGGAACCCTGATAGCCACTGGGAGGGAAGATGGGGTACCACAGGAGGGACGGCACCTGGCACACAGGTCAGGGACCCCGCTCAGGTGGTGACATGTGACCCGAGGCCAGGAGGCTGGGGCGGCTCAGGCAGGCGCCGTGGGAGAAGTCCCCAGCCAGGCAGCAGGGTAGAGGCCATTACAGGTGTGGGCTTTTAGAGGGGCCAGTGGTCAGCCAGGGGAGGCGGCAGCCAGGGTGGGTGAGGCCAGGCCTTCCAAGGCCTGCAAGGGGGGCTGCGGAGAATGGGTCAGGGCCAGGACTGCAACAAAGGAGAACGGGGTCACTGACCAGTCAGCCAGGTGAGTATCAGTAAGTGGAGGGTGTGGCTTTACCTGACAGTTGACGTCCATTTGTCCATTTGAAAGCAGATACTGAACTACATCATAGTGACCCTTCTTGGCAGCGAGGTGCAGACAGGTGGAGCCCTCTGCATCCTGCAACACAATTTCCAGAGAAATCCCATGACCTACAGCACGACCCTGAGCACATGACCACGTGAACGTTTGTTCCCCACATGAGGGAAGTTCCTCGAGAAGAAGGAACCCAGGCAGAGAAAGGTGGAGTTATTTTCAGAGGTCATACAACTGGGGTCCAAGCCCGGTCCGGCGGGCTCCAGACTCCAAGCTCCTGACACCAACGGGGCCTCAGGTAGCAAGGAGTCTTCAAGTTTTAAGACACACCTGGCAGGTACATCATGTCAACCACCTATCCCTTCCTTTTTCCCATGGTCCAGACAGGCCGAGGCATGCCCCAGGCTTCTCGACGTGGCCAGGTGCTGTGCCCTGTCCCTCCGTTCCAACATGGCCCCCAGGACTATGCCAGGCACCTGCAGCACTCCTCACATGACAAGAGGGCCACCCGTACCCATCGGGACCTCTACGAGACAATGGTGGCCGTTGCACGCTTTTAGACTAGTGCTAATAATTCCGTAATCATTATCCATACGCCACAGAATTAAAAACAATAAATGGCAGAGAAAAGCAGGGGCCCAGAGCGGGGGCATGCTTGCCCTGCAGTCCGACGCATGTAAGGGTGGCTGCCTGCCTGTGTTTTGCCTCCTGTGGCTGCAGGCACATCTCCCCGTTAGCTTTCAGCTCTACTTCCTCAAGCATTGAAGGACCTCAAAACAAAACAAAAGCCACCCTCCACTGTGGAAGTCAGACCCAGAAAGCTCCAGGAGAGACTTGGGGGTCCTGGGAGGGCTGGGGGACCATGTGTGCCCTGGTTCACAGGGCCAGGCTCAGTGCCAACCTGAGAGCCTGCATGCTGCACAGATGGACTCTTCCTGGGTGTGCGTCTCAGGGACCTGTGTGGACACACTTCCACCGTTTTCTCCTTACAGGGTCTCTCTTTGCCTTCCGCCCCTGCTCCTGTCTGTACTGACCATGTTTCCTCAGTCCCTCTTTCTCCCTCTTTCTGACCCTCTAAGCAGTAATCCGAGATTTTCACACACACACCGTTAAAACAGATTTCTTACCAAGCCTGAAGTTAGTAACCCGCTTTTCTCAAGAAAACCCACACACTCAAACCCCGTATTACTGGTGTTTAAAATTTTAATTGTATGATAAATACAAAAATGTATGATTGTTGGTGTAAAGGCTGGCCTTATTTTCAAGTGTTCTCAGTTGAATGACTTCGCACTGAGTATCACAAAACGTCCCCCTGTTCACACATCCCAGAGCTGAACAGGGGCATCTCCTCCTCGGGGCAGGGGCCCGCCACACAGCGGCAGCGACACGGGCCATGCTATGGCTCCTCTGGGCAGTCCAACCTTTGAGCGCCACCAAATCCAATGGCTACACGATGGTGTCTCAGGGTGGTTTTCAAAAGGCTGAGCACCTTGCCTGTGTTTGCTGGTTCCTCAGATTTCCCCTTCCGGGGACTGCCTGTTGATTCTTTGCCCATTTTTCTTTTGAGCTCTTTTGTTTGTTGGACTTCCTTGTTTTTTGGATATTAATCCTTTGCCGGTATATTGCAATATCTTCTGGCAGCGTGTAACCTGCCTTTTGTAAACTTTGTGACATCTTGTTGACCAGAATTTCTTAATTCCAATGAACTTGACTTTACCAATCACTTTTGTACTTCTCTGTGTCTTCCTGAAGAAACCTCTCCCTATGCTGGAATCACAAAGATAATCTTTCCTCTTCTAAAAGTTACTATTGTACAATACGTGTTCTCCATCCTTTCTCCTCCCACCTGTTTGTCCATTTAACAAGAGCACCTGCAGAAGCACACACCTGCTTGTGGTGTGCTCAGTCCTCACCCATGCTGTCCCTGTGGGCGGGGTGGGGCTCCTCGTCCCCTGGGGGGGGGGGGGTGTCCTCATGGACAGGGTGGAGGTGTCCTCATGGATGGGGTGGGGCTCCTCGTCCCCTGGGGGTGGGGGTGTCCTCACGGACGGGGTGGGGCTCCTCGTCCCCTCGGGGGTGGGGCTCCTTGTCCCCTCGGGGGTGGGGGTGTCCTCACTGACGAGGTGGGGCTCCTCGTCCCCTGGGGGGGGTGTCCTCACGGACGGGGTGGGGGCTTCTATCCTCTTTTCGTGCCTGTAGTTCTACAAATACTGCTTAGTACTCCACTTCCTCCACTAGATTTTTTTAAACTGTCCTTAAAGCTGTATTTCTTTTAAATTATTTTCTTTGTACTTCCTCTGGGGGCGATGATAGTCCCCTCATCAGTCCACTTGGATTGATGTTTACTGCCTCCCAGAGCAGAAGTAAGACAGTCTGACAACAGTAGGATTGCATTCGTGGCTCCTGCCCAGTGCTGCTGGTGACACATTTTACTTCTAAATTGGTATGAACTCCACCCTGTGAAAATATTTCTGCTTTAAACAGCCTTTTGTCTTTTAGGAAATTTAAAGAAAACAATGGTCTTTCCCAGGCACTATTCCTGGACAGACTCTCAGGCAGAGTTCCCACCCCTGTTCGGGCAAATGTATCAATAAATCCTAGCAGTTTTTGTTCACTTGAAAGTGTTTTATTCCACAATTATTTTTTGGGGGGGGGGTTACTTTTACTGGATGCGGCCTTCTGGGTTGACAATTTTTTTGAGTTTTCTTTCCCCATTGTTTCAGATGAGAAGTTGGTGATTTTTTGTAATGCTGTTTGCCTACATGTCATGTGTCATTCTTTGGCTGCTTCTAAGATTTTGTTTTCAGTTTTCAACATTGTGTAGGTGTGGTATTCTTTGTATTTATCTAGTTTGGGGTTGGCTTAGTTTCTTGGATCTACAGATTATCTTACCAAATCTGGGAGGCTTATGACCACTTTTTTTTCCGATCAGATTCTTTCTCCCCTGTTTCTGGGAACTCCAATTACACATCAGTTGGAAACTGTCCTAAAAGCTGTTTTTCAGACTGAGTAATTTCAATGAGCGGTCTTCAGTTGCAGTGACCACTTTCTTCTATTGCACCCTATCTACGGCTAAGTTCATCCATGAGCCGTCCGTCCCCTTCGATGTCTGCTCCCCTCAAACCACTGAAACTTCTCCGGTCCTTTGTCTGCAGGTTCCAGGTGCTTCTGTAAAGCCCTGCACACTAACCTCTTGCCTCTGCAGTGGTGCTCAGCGTGGGCACGGGCTCCTGTGGCAAGGCTGGGTATCCGTGCCTTGGCAGAGAATGGGGTAAATGCGCGGGACTCATCCACCCGTCATAATGGAGAAGATTAATAATAGTCATCTATGGACATTTACAAAACAATTGAAGGTTTCCAGATTGTAATAAACACCAAAAATAAAGCAAAAGACTAAAACTTGAAAAAATATTCATACCACAGATAAATAACTATATACCAAAGTGTTCACTTTAAGACAAGCTAAATAAAATAGTAAAAAAAAAGATAACCATTTTTGCATATCAAACTGTTCATATTTTTTTAAAAGGTTTTTTTTTTTTAAAGATTTTATTTATTTATTTGACACACACAGAGAGAGAGAGAGAGAGAGAGAGAGTACAAACAGGGGGAACGGGAGAGGGAGAAGAAGACCCCGCTGCTGAGCAGAGAGCCTGACATGGGACTCAATCCTAGGACCCCGGGATCATGACCTGAGCTGAAGGCAGACGCTTCACCGACTGAGCCACCTAAGCGCTCCTGTTAATATTTTTTTAAAAACCTATCATAGTCGCCACTGGAAGTGAGTGCTCAGACACTCCTGGTGTACTTCAGGAAGAGATATAAAAACCCTCAATATTTCAATCTAACAATTCCACACCCAGAAACATGTCCTAAAGAAATCAAACGTGCATAAACTTAGCTAAAAAAAATGTTAATTGGAGCAGTGTGTATAATGATAATTGAAAACAGGGGTGCCAGAGTGGCTCAGTCAGTTAGGCATCCAACTCTTGGTTTCGGCTCAGGTCATGATCTCAGGGTCATGGGATCAAGGCCCACATCGGGTTCTGCACTCAGCAGGGAGTCTGCTTGAAAGATTCTCTCCCTCTGCCCCTCCCCCTGCCCACATGCTCACACTCTCCCTCTGAAAATAATCTTTAAAAAATTGTAAACGAAAATATTAAGCAATAAGCAAATGTGACTAAAAGTGATACCACTGCATCATGAAATACAATGCAGCCACCTCAAATAACGTTATAAAACAATGTTTAATAGAAAAAGTGATAATTTGATGGAAAAAAAGGAAGTTGATAAATTACTATTAACAGTGTAAGTTTTGGGGAAAACATGTATTTATGTGAAAAACTACAAGATCATTTTTATGTTTTTACTGTAATTTATGCATACATATGTATATAACATAAAATTTGCCATTGTGCCCATTTTCAAGGGTACAATTTGGTGGCAGTGATTCCATTCACACTGCCGTGCGGCCCTCACCACTCACCCTGACCAGAAACAGGGTGCCCACTAAGCAGGGATGCCCACCCCACCCCAGCCCCCATAATCTTTATTTAACCTACTTGCAGTCTCTCAATTTGACGACTCTGAGTCCTCACACGAGTGGATCCTACAGGATGTGTCCTTCTGGGACAGGCTTGTCTCACTCAGCACTTTACCTGTGCTGGGTCTTCCTTCTCGTTTAAGGCTGAGTGATGCCCCATAATGCGCACAGACCATTTTTTGCTGATCTGTTCTTCTGTGGGTGGACACTTGGGCTGTTTCCACCTTCCTGCTTTGTGGACAAGGCTGCTGAGAACATGGGAGTGCAAATACCCATTCATGCCCCTGCCTTCAGTTCCTTTGGGTAAATACCCAGGATTGGAATTGCTGGATCACAGGGTAGCTCTATGTTTAACTTTTTGAGGAACCACCAAACTGTTTTCCACAGAAGCTGCATCATTTCACATGCCCACCAGCAACGCATGAGGGTTCCAATTTCTCTACATCCTTGTTAGCACTTACTTTCCATTTTGAGATTAACTGTTGCCCCAAGAGGAGGTGACATCTCACTGGGGTTTTGATTTGCATTTCCCTGATGACTGGTGATATTGAGCATCTTTTCATGTGCTAATTGGCCATTTATAGATCTTCTCTGGAGAAATGTCTATTCAAAGTCTTTGCCCACTTTTGAATTGGGTTGGATTTGTGTTATTGAGTGGTAGGAGTTCTTTATATATTTTGGATAGGAATCCCCCATCAGGATTTATGTATTTCTCCCATTCCGTGGCTTGTCTCTTCACACTTTTAGTGTCCTCTGACACATTAAAGTTTTTATTTTTGATTAAGTTTATTTTATTATCTGTGCTATTGGTCTTATATCCAAGACATCACTGTCAGACCCAATGAATGTCATGAAGATTTTACTCTTATCTTTTCTTCTAAGAGATTTACGTTTTTAGCTGTTACGTTTAGGTCTTTGATCCATTTTGAGTAAATAAATATGGTGTAAAGGAAGGGCCCAACTGCATTCTTTGACATGTGGAGATCCAATTTTCCCGGCACCATTTGTTAAAAAGACTGCCCTTTCCTCCCACTAAATGATCTTGGCACCCTGCCGAGAACCATTTTATATCGGTGAGGGTTCGTTTCTGGGCCCTTCTCTCCCACGGTCTGTACGTCTGTCTTCATGTCAGCACCGCGCTGTGTTGATTGCTGTAGTAGGTTTGGAAGTCAGGAAGCGTGAGACCTCCAGCTCTGTTCTTCTGCCAGATTGCTTTGCTGTTCAGGGTCCCTGAGGTCCGTGGGAATTTCAGGATTGGTTTTTCTCTATCTGTAAAAAATGGCATTGGGATTTTGACAGGGATTGCACTGACTCTGTGGTTCGCCCTGGGTGTCCAGGCACTTCAACAATGTTCAGTCTTCCAACCCATGCACACGGGACGCGTTTCCACATACTTACGTCTTCTTTCATCTCTTTCAGCAATGTTTTGTGGGTTTCGGTGTACTTGGTTAAGTTTATTCTTTATACTTTGCTCTTCTTGATGCTATTGTAAATGGAATTCTTAATTTCCTTTCTGGATCGTTCATTTCAAGTGTATAGAGATACAACTGATGCTTCTGTATTGATTTTGTATCTTGTAACTTTTCTGTATGTATTTATTAGTTCTAGATTTTTTTTGTGTGGATTCTTTAGGATTTTCTACATATAAAATCATACCATTTATGAACAGAGATCATCTTACTTCTTTCCCAATTTGGATGCTTTTTATGGGGGGTGGCTAATTGCTCCAAGTGGAAGTCGGAGGAGGGAAAGTGTCCAAAATGAAGGAAGCTAGAGACCTCCACATGGCAAACTCCTTATTTGCTTCTTTGTCTATTGTGAGGCACAGTAGATCCAGTGGTCACTAGTATTTTCTCAAATAAACTAGTAACCAAGCAAGGTGAACTAATAACTACTTCAGACAAATAGGTGGATGTTTGATGCCTACCAATTCCTAAAGACGTTCCAACAAGGAACTGACCCCTGTTCATCTTTCTGAAAAATTTCTACACACAACAGGAATGCGTACCTTAGGATCCACGAGGGCCCCGGCCTTGATGAGGTACTTCACTGCATCTAAATGGTTGTTTTCTGCTGCCTCCATCAATGGGGTTCTCTGGTCTTCTGAGCAGGTGTCAATATTCGCGCCCGCCTAGTGAAAGCGGACAGTTCAGGTGCGTAGAGAGCTCCCACTGCAGCCCCCACCTGGCATTCAGACACTTCAGGCACTTGCAAGCTGAAAGAACTCATGGGCTATGCTAATATCATTTCTAATGACTGTAACTGAGTCTTCAGAACCGAATTCAAAGACATGATTGTTCTACTAGTGTCAAACCTTCGGTTCAAGAGCATTTTCTTGACAGAAAACGTTTACAGCACATTAGTGACAATACCTTTAGAAATGAGAAGTGATAACCTTCTAAAGCAGGAAAAGGAGGGGGCACCTGGGTGGCTCAGTCAGTTAAGCATCTGCCTTCCACTCAGTCCCGCATCGGGCTCCTTCCTCAGTGGGGAGTCTGCGTCTCCCTCTGCCCCTCCCCCCATTTGTGTGTGCACGCTCTCTCTCTCAAAAATAAATAAAATCTTTAAAAAATAAAATAAAATAAGGCAGGCAAAGAGGGATGTGGAGGGGGCTGCTCAGCAAGGCTGGGCCAGAAGGCGGGCAGTGACCTGGCCTACCGTGACCACAGGGACATCCTGACTCAGTGACCTCTCTCTCTGGCTGTTTTAGTGCTTCCCAAAATAAATAGAATAAAAGCTGATTTCCAATATTACGTATTTTGAAGCAATTTCTAATTCTTCCAATAGACTATGTACTTGGAAAACTAATGGTCTAGCAAGTATGCTTATCTGAGAGAGAGAGAGAGAGAGAGAGAGAGAGAGAGAGAAAGAGAGAGAGAGAGAGAGAGAGAGAGAACGAGTAGACGGAGGGAGAAGTAGACTCCCCACTGAGCAGGGAAGCCTGACAGGAGACTCGATCCCAGGTCCTTGGGATCATAACTTGAGCCAAAGGCAGGTGCTTAATCAGCTGAGCCACCTAGGCACTCTGGTTAGCAAGTATGCTTAAACTTCAGTCTGTTTGAAACTTAAGAAGAATGTCCAACTTTATTTATTTATTTTAAAGATTTTATTTATTTATTTGAGAGAGAGAGAATGAGAGAGAGAGAGCACAAGAGGGAAGAGGGTCAGAGGGAGAAGCAGACTCCCTGCTGAGCAGGGAGCCCGATGCGGGACTCGATCCCAGGACTCCAGGATCATGACCTGAGCCGAAGGCAGTCACTTAACCAACTGAGCCACCCAGGCGCCCAGAATGTCCAACTTTAAAATGTGTTGTGTGCTATAAGCAAACTGGATGTCTCACGATTAAAACCCTTTCCCCACGGGGGTAAAACTGCCTAATTTCTTAAACTGATGTACCAAAAGCTAGTATTTAGTTTATAAAATAAATATTTACTAGGAAAAGGCTAAGAATAGTATTGTTTTTACTGTTTGTAGTTAAAAACAGAAGTAACAAAATGAGTTAAGAGATTTTTAAATAGATCCAGAGTGGTACACAGGGAAACCAGGGGACTGAGGTGGTTCAGGGAATCCTGAACGAGACTTCTGGCAAGTTCCAGAGGGCAGGATGGGGCTGGGGACCACAGGCAGAGCTGAAGACCGGGCACTAACAGAAGGTCAGGGGTCAGAGGACCAGGCCCCTGACCTTCACTTAGACCAGGGTCAGACCAGGCCCTGAGGACCCACGACCGATTCCAAGTGTGCCCATCCGAAATCAGGGGCAACAAGTGACAGAGGCCCTCATAGGGACACACAGACAAACCAGAACTGACACCACAAAAGTTGGCCCAGAAGAAAGTGATCATCACCAGGAAAAGGTAGGGAAGACTGAGAGACAAAGCCAAAGAATCCCTGAGAACCTTCAGACAGGGGAGAAGACAGAGGAGAGCAAGTCAAACCAGAAGGTCCCCACGTGACTGATGGGATTCCCACTAGAGAGAATGGTGAGAACAGGAAAGTGGGTCTTAAGGGAAAAGTCCCAGTTTGTCCAGCAAGATGGACTTAGTACAGACTCCAGGACAGACACACCATAGCCCAAGTGCTGGACACCAGGCAGGCCCCAACCCCCACACGTTCCCCAAAACCTCCCTGCGTGACCGTGCAGAGTGTGCAAGACCCCGTGTGGGTGTGCAAGGTGTGTGCATGCACCACGTGAGGTGTGTGCAGTCCACAGCAGGTCCTCGAGCTCAGAGGTCAGTGCAACAGGTGTGGCTCTGTCCCTCTCCTCTGGGCTCTGTGACTATCAGAACATAACACCTTTCTCTGTTAGGAAACACCTCACAGACTCCCGACAGACGGCAACCACAGACACAGAACACTCACACAAGGAGGACAAGGCAACGGGGCACCCTAGAGTTCGGGAGCAGAGGGAGGTGACCTGCATCTGGACCCAGGGCAGCTGTCATGAATGACCAGTGGCAGGGATGCTCACACCACGGATGTCCCTGGGGCTGGCCAAAGGCCGGCACGAACTGCTGGAGCTGGATGTGCTGCATCTGCATCCGAGACCAGCAGAGCCACCCTGACCACACAGCCCCTGAGCATGGGAAACGCCGCTCAGTGCCTAAGGAGCACATACTTCCTTCCGTTTAATTTTGTCATTTAAATCCAAACGGCCACATGTGGCACCACACGCCACACTGCAGCGGGCCAGGGCCCGAACAAAACAAGAGCTGTTTCCAGTGAGGCCTTAGGATGAAAGTTAAACAGGATGGAAAGATCTCAAAACTGCTCTTCGCAGGCGCTTCTGGCTGTGAGGGAATGTTCCTCAAACCCTGAGAGCACAGGAACCCAGAAGAGTGCGGGCTAGCAACACCAGTCAGCAGCTTCCGTGCTGTCTGGGGCTGGGGAGATGGTGCAGAGCCAGAGCCTGCCTCCTGGACGGTGTGGGGTAAGAGACACCCCACCAAAGCTGAACCTCCTAGAAACAACACCCTTGGATTCAGGGAAAACTAGAAAAACCTACCCCACCTCTTTCCTGGGGACTCTCAGGAAAGCAGCTCAGGTTCTAAAAGAAGAAAAATACCCATAATCACAGGCTCCCAAGCTCAGGGAGTGAGCAGCCTGGGCCATCGACATCAGGTCAGCACAGAGGGTCACAGAGAACAACAGTAGAAAGGGCTGGTTTTCCCAGTAAGTGACATTTTATTTTGCAACCGTTTAAGACACAGAGAAGCTGCAGAACGGCAAGAGCTCCTGAGCTCTCGGCTTTCCCAGGACGGTGCCTCACACGAGAGGAGGGGCAGGTCCGGACCAGAGCACAGACAGACGTCCCCCCGTGCTCACAGGCACAAGTAGGGCTTCTGCTCCTGGACTGAGAAGACGATGCACTAGAAGTCCTACCGCGTGATTCGATGCTTCTGGACTGAGAAGAGGACACACTATAAGTCCTACTGCGCGACTCGATGAGCATAAAGCAGAGAGGCAGACACAGGTAAGCCACATGGTGATCAAACCAGAGATGCAGAGACCAAGGCTGTGAGAGCCGGGAGAGCCGTCCCCTCCAGGCGGGTGGGCAGGGCTGTGTCCTGACCTGGGTTGAGGTGGGTGCCCTTCACGATTATTTATTAACAGGACGTTTACATGTTAAGAACTTTTCTGTGTGTATCTTAGACACACACACACTGTAACTGTAAAAAAAAAAAAAAAAAAGACCAAAAAGAAAACACGTCCTTTCAAAGCTAACTTCTCAAAACAAAGCACAGAAGCCGGAAGACAGTGGGATCCTTCCTTAAACAAAGTAAGAGAAAACAACCAGCAACCCAGAATTCCAAATCCAGGGAAACGTCTCCCAAGAAGCCCCCCACACTGGCCGCTGAGATGAGGAGGAGCCTGGGCAGCCCCTCACCCAAGGCAGCCCACAGGACCATGAGGGCGACCCTGCCCCACCTCCTGCCTCGCCCCTGTCCTGCAACACCCCTACACAGTGCTGGGTCTCCAGTCCACCCTCGCAAAAGCACAAACCACGTCCATGCCCTCCTCGCAACGGGGACGAGACAGCGGTCCCCCTGGAGTTCCGGCCCCCAGCCCTCCCCCCCTCAGAGCGCTAGCACCCGTGGTCACTGCTTCGATGACCATGCCCGCTCTGCCCTTGACCCCTCTCCAATGAGCTCATTCTCCATCAGATCAGCCACCCACCACAGTCACCACCAAGAACCATCCCCTGCAGGACCACTCTGAGCAGCCCTCTCAGCTGCCCCCGAGTCCTGCCAGGCTTCTCCTTGAACTCGCGCCCGAGGCCTCCATGGGCCTCCCCACCAAAATGGCTCAAGCTCACCAATCCAGTGCAAGGCCTTCTCCCCGCAGCTTGGCATCTGCAGCTCCCTCACCTTGCCTGTCTAAAGACGGAGGACATGACACCTGCACACAGAGTGTGTCCTCTGGAGGCAAGAAAGAAGAGTATACAGCCTCCACGTGAGTAAAGAGAAAGGAAATGAGATGACCGAAGCAAATACCAACCCGAAAGAAGGCAACAAAGCAGATTAAAAAATATATGTATATCTGTTTGAAAAGACTAAGAATCAAAACAAAATAAAACATCAGAAATATATTTAAATGATAGAAATTACGGTAAATATTATCTAAACTAAAAGTTCCTATTAAAATTCCAAGGTTATGAGACTGAGCTTTTAAAAAATCTAGCAACATGCTACTTAACAAGATACATCCAAATCAGATGCTCTTCAGCACGAGAGGGAGCTAGAAATCTACACTAACAGGTACGTCTACTGTAAAAGAGACACAAGCACACGTCAACGTGATTGCAAACTGCTCCGCCCACAGCTGCTGCTTCCATCAGCACCGGTCAGAATGACAAGAAAGCACTCCAGGTGAGTGGGGACGCACCAGCAGAAGCTGTGGCGTCAGGAGAGAAGACACACACGAAAGGCTGAAGGAGGGGCAGCCCCGGCACTCCGGCCATCGGCACCTCTGGCTCCCACAGAGGCACACGCAGGAGACAGCCCACATGCGCCCCTCTCCGGCAAGCGGTGTCTGCAGGGCACCCGACAGTGACAAGGGAGGGACCCTCCACCAGCATTTTAGTACTTCAGATGTGAACAAACAGGAATCATCAGGCATTTGAGGAAAACCTTTAAAAAAGAAAGACCAAAACGAACAGAGCAGCATAAAACTTCAAAATTACTGTAATATCTTCAAAGGAACAAGGAAAGAACAGAGATACAAAAAAGGAACTCTCAGGCGCCTGGATGGCTCAGTTGGTTGAGCGGCTGCCTTCGGCTCAGGTCATGATCCTGGAGTCCCGGGATCGAGTCCCGCATCGGGCTCCCTGCTCAGTGGGGAGTCTGCTTCTCCCTCTGACCCTCTTCCCTTTCATGCTCTCTCTCAAATAAATAAATAAAGTCTTTAAAAAAAAAAAAGGAACTCTCAGGGAGCAAGCAAGGACTCTGGACCTCAAGATGTGACTGCCCAGATTAAAATTCCCCAGAGGAGCTGGAGGGTAAGGTCAAGAACACTGCCCAGCAAGTGGAATGGGAAATGAAGAGCAGGTGCACAGCAGGAAGCGAAGACCAGAGAATGAGTCCATAAGGCCTAACGTGTGAACGGGGGCTCCAGAGGGCAGAGAGGAAGGTGGCATCCAGAAACCCCAGAACAAGGGACAGGAATGTCTACACTGAAAGGACACACCAAATGCCCCAAAGGAGTCAAAAGACCACTGCACCTCAGTGGGATTTCAGACCAGTGGATCAAAGGAAATTTCCTGAAGCATCAGAGATAAAGGATCAGACTGAAAATGTCTCCAGCAGACAAGGGACCCAACACAGGGCCAGGGTCAGGGAAGGGGTGGCCCAGAGAAAGAGGACATGGGGGCAAGCAACAGGGCTTCCAGGTGACACGGAGACAAGAGGCGGTCTGTTTGGAGGGTTAGGGATGAGTCAGCAGGAGGCCAAGAGACAACAGAAGCACTCGACAATTACGGCTCTCGTATGCGCCGCGGCCCACATAAGGGCTCCTACTGATATCAGCAACATCGGGACATGATCAAATGGGGAGGACTGGGGTGGGGTGGGGGGGGTGGTATGTGAGCCAGGGCCAAGCCTTTCCACGCTCCAAAGTCAGTAATCAATACTGAAACCTGAATGTAGAATGGGAACAAAGACGACAAGTCTAGCAAGAGCCAGAGAAGCGGCTGCAGGACTGACATCAGGGCCAGGACTAGGGGGACAGAAACGCTGGTTTTCTCTTGGAGCCACGAAGTGCTGTAGGACTTTCTAGCTCTCTAAACTATGAATTCCATTTTATTTCACTCAACAAAGACAAAAGGGAGTGGGTGGAGGGCTCTGTGGAGAGCCGTGCGTCCGACCTGAATCAGCATGTGGCAGATGTCCACGTGGCCGGCCTCTGCGGCGGCATGCAGCGGGGAGCGCTTGCTCTGGTGTTCCATCTTGAAGTTGGGGTCGATCCCATCAACTGTCAACAAAAAGGTTTCACCGATTATCTCGGAAGCAGCCTCTGGTTCCCACCACTTTAGGGTGGTCACAAAGGCTGGTAAAAGCGCATGTGGACGACCACCGAGAACCAGCATCACACAACACCATCCCGAGTCTAGGTAACAGTGAAGCCAGGCTCCAAACACGTTGGAAGATTCAAAAGAAGTGCGCTAGTTTCACACAAAATTCAACATGTGGGTCTACTGCCAGGAGCCACCTAACAATGTGAATCCCCCTCCACTCACTGCCCTTGTCTAACTCAAGGGCCCCCAGAGCTTCTCTGGGGTCCCTTCCGTATTTTCAAGCACTCCTGCCCTCAGCCTTCCCCCCCAGGCCAGGGGCACCTGCTAAGCTCAAGGACAACAGGCCCACTGGGCAGCCTCACACACACGTGGCTTGGCGCACATGATCCCAGCAGGCCTAACGCGGACAATTGGCCGACAGACCGGCCACAGAGCAGCCAGGCAACCTCAGCACCCCACCAAGCCTAGGGGGAAAAGGACTAAAACCGCCATTTTGGTCAACATTAAATAACTTACGTTTTTGGAACAAATCGTTGAGTTTCTTCTTTGATTGTCAAGTGAAGGGATTTTTAATCATTCTTTTGAACCCAGAGATATAAAGCCTCGAGCTGCGAGCTCAGAATTGAATTACTGCCCCTTCCTTGACCGGAGCAGAGCTGGGAAGGGTCTGAAAGCACCGGCAGGCGCGTCAGCCCTGAGACACACGCGCAGACATCAGTGTAAAGCGTCTTGCTCTGCCCACAGCTGGCTTCGACCAGCACAGGCCTGGCACCTGCCTTCCTACCACCAGCGCCCAATCGGCCCCAGCTCACTCATCTTCCTTTTTCTGAATCTATACCTGCTCTTAATTTAATCATCCACCTAATTCCTCTTTTAAAATGAGAAATTCATAGACAATATTTCTATTATCACGAATAACAGAATATGAACATCATGCACAGGATGAACTACACTGGGCACAGGTCAGAGAAATGAGAGACGGATAAAGAAAAAAAAAAAAATGAGACCCACCTCCTAAGAAAAGGTAACAAACTACTACCGGCCCCTGGAGCCCCAGCGGACGTGACAGGCCGCTTACCTAGCATGAGCAGCACCTTCTGCAGCTCTCCTTGCCTGGCGGAGAAGTACAGCTGCTTCGGATGGAAGCGAAGCTTCTTGGGTCTGTGGGGAAAGCACGGACAGCTGTGACCACCGGGTGGCCCCACCGGGCTCCCAGCCCACCTGCCACCACCTGCAGATGCACAGAAGCACGCTGCAGGATGGGAAGGCCTGGGGATGTCTACCAGCTGATGCCTCAGGGTCAAGGGCACCAAACTCACCAGGCTCAGGCATCTCACAGGAAAAAAACAACAAAAATGAGCAACTACCTTCTTCATCCACAGCAGGAGAATGGTTCCTGAGGCTTCTGTGTACTGTGACAACAGAGCGAACCATCTCTTTGTAGCATGGGGTCAAGAGAGGCCCTGAGGTGGCAGGGGCAGTGTGGTCACACCTGGCCCAGCCCGCCCCCTTCAGCAGTATGCGGTCTGGGCCTGGTGAACGGGGCAGGGGGACCCTCAGTCACCGTAACATCAGGGCCACAGATGAGGCTGGAGACTGACAGAGTGAAACTATGGGGGACTGGGCAGTGTGTCCTAACACCTGAGCTTCCCCTAATCAAGAGTACCATGACATATGCCCCTTCCGGCAGAGAGGCGTGCTGTCCCAAGGGAGGACACGTGGCCTGGCCTGAGGCCCTGGTGAACTAGGCCGGTGGGCTTCCCTGGGAGAGGATACCTGCCTGGCTCACAGGTCACAGACTCGGGGCCCTAATGCAGGGCTGCACTATCTGAGAGTTGGCAGGTGAGCCTAAAGAGCCACTTGATCCAACCCTTCATTTCACAGATGAGGAATCAGCCAAGTGGCATTTGCTCTTATGTCCTGAAGCCAACACCAGGGGGTCAACAATATCCAGGGGAAATGTTTGTAAAAGCCTCACAAGGACTGCCCTCACTTATGACTTCAAAGAAGTCACCTTTTGCTCTTAGTGTAATGGACAGCTTGCAATAATTTCCTGAAAGAGTGTAAAAATATGTGAATTGTCCTGATGAACACCATTTATCAAAAAGCTGAAGAATGCTACAGTGACCTCCTTGCGAATGCACCGTGACCCCATGGGGGAGCCCAATGACCCTCAGGGGGTGCCACATGGGGTGCAGACCCTTGGGAAGTGCGACCATGGCGGCATTGGAAGCATTGGGGGGTTTCCAGACGCACAGGCGCAAAGGCCCAGTGGCTGACACGGAGGGAAGAGAAGTCTGCAGGAAGGAATGTCCAGATGGGCAGATGTCAGTGGGTCAGGCCCTGAGCCACATCTGAAAACGCAGACTGGTTCTTACTTTTCCGAGTCCAGAGCGATCAGAGCACTTTCCAAGGTCTCCTTCCCTGGTCCCTGGGAAAGGCCGGGGGCCGGCTTCACCAGCCCGGCAGGCCCCGTGGGGTCGAAGCCCTCGGCTGCCTGGGGGGCTGTGCCCTGCGGCTTGCCGTCCTCCAAGAGCGGTGGTCCAGCAGTGCTTCAGGGGTAGGAAACAAATGATATGCTGAATTGTAGACACGTGAAAAACTCCACTTCTTGTGGAGACCAATGAAAACACAGAACATGATTCACTTGGACCCTTCCAGCTGAGCGTGAAAACAGCTCCAGACTCGCTCTCTGTTCAGTCCTTGGATCAAAGTCCAGTTCAGGGCAAATTCCCAGAAAGAAAGTGACATTCAAAGCAAAAGGGCAACTTTTCCAGGGTTTCCAGGACCACATTCAAGTTTGCTTTTGTGAATGAACTTCCCAGTTGGAGCTATCAAACCCACTGCTCTTGCCAGTGGGAGGAAATCCTCCTGGAAATCTGATTCAAGTCATGTTACATTCATTTATAGATTAGCAGGGTTAATACAGAACAAGAAAGATTCGGCCTCCTCCCAATATTCAGTTTGATACGTCTACAATTCAAGGCTCTTTTAAACAGCCCTCGACAAAATATTACTTTTCTCTTTATCAGTGTAATATTTATTATTTATGTTATATATTCCCAATATGAACCCTTCCCTTAACAAAATTCTTTTCTCATTTAGCTAGGGCCTTCAAGATATAACGCAGTAACTGACTGTACAAGCTAAAGCTAACGTTTCATATTATACTCGCATGCAACAGATGTACGGGTGTGTAGGGGGCACAGACGTGCACTGGCGTGCAGAGACACTCCCGCAGGGGCAGAGGACACGTGCACACACACAGGCAGGGGTCAGCACTTAAAGACACCCAGGTCTCCAGAGGATCCGACCGAGGCTGCACGGGGCACATACCTGCCTGTGGTCGTGTCAGCCCTGCCCTCCACCAAGGAGCTCTTGTCCGGCCCGGGGGCCAGCGTCACGGTGGAGGTCGTGTCTGCTTTTGCGATGGTCACCTCTTTGGCCTTGGAGATCTCCTCCCCGCAGTGGGGACAGTAGCTGGCATTATTGACTCGAGAGGCGCAGTCCTTGTGAAAGCGGTGGGAGATGCTGCTCTCAGGCTGACACTCCATAAAATTACCCTGAAAACGGGAAGACAAGAAATCACTGTTTAAAATTAGGGCTAACATGCATGGAAGTAAACAAAGTGCTACTGAACCTGCCTGTGAATGTGGTGTGGCGGCCAGGGGCCCAGAGGCCAGTTGGGGCTCCCAGTCCCTGGCTCAGTAAGCAGGAGACCCATGTCCTATGTCTGTGGTGTGTCCACACGTGCCCCTGCTTTGTTTTTTGTTTTTGTTTTTTGAAGATTTATTTATTTGAGAGAGAGACAGAGAGAGAGAGACAGCAAGAGCAGGAGGGGCAGAGGGAGAGGGGGAGACTCTCAAGCAGAAACCACGCCGAGTGCGGAGCCTGATCGGGGTTCAATCCCACAACCCTGAGATTGTGACCTGAGCTGAAGCCAAGAGGCAGGATGCTTAACTGACTGAGCCACCCAGATGACCCCCACCCTGCTCCACCGCTGCTCTAAAGAGAGTGAGCAAAGTGGGGAGAAGCCACGTGACTGCCCCCCACACCCCAGGAGGCCAAGGCCTCACTCTCTGGCTGTTCTAACCCGAGAAGAGACTGCCCAGAAAACCAGGTCCCAAGAAGGACCCCCAGAGGACAATCCAGGAAAGACAAACTTGGAAGAGAGAGGAGGGACAGTGTTCCGCAGAGGTTACCCAGCATCACCGGGGGGCACTTCAGGCAAACCTGATGGCCTCAAAAAAGGACTCGCCGGCACCAAGGAGGTAAACCCCCAGCAGGATGAGAAGCAGTAAGAGTAGTGCGCTCTTGCTGGGAGCTGGGTCACTGGACCCAGAGAAGCAGTCTCCCTCTTTTCCAGCAGAAGCAACAAGGATGTGGAAGACAACGAAGGGCACACAGGTGTGAAATCCCAAGAGCAACCACTGCAGAGAGCCTCCTGACCCAGGTGGTTGCTCCGCTGTGGGCCAAGTGAACTGCAGGGACCCCCACGTTCTTACGTGTACCCTACGCATGGGTATAAGTGGAATGAAGTAACTGACAGAGACGACCCTAAAACCAAGAGATGATGGCAAAGCAGAAGAGGCAGGCAGGCCCTGCCCAGGAGCAAGGCCGCTGTGCGTTCAGACACAGTGAGCAGGAGTGGGGGGGCTGAGGGCGCCTGCCTCCCATGTCCCAGCTGTCCCCAGGAGGCTGCAGACTCACACGAAGCAAGAGGAGAGTGTATCGTGGGAGAGGGCCTCCAGGCGGGCCCCAGACCAGGGAGCTGCTGGGAGGTGTCTGGTACAACAGTCAGCCAGGGGAGGGAGGGAGGGAGGGAGCACTGGCATGAGCCTGCTGACCCGGGGACCTGCAAGGCAAGCTGGGCACTTACCGCTGTGCAGAAGTAGCCACAGCCGGGACAGCACTGGTGCTTCACCATCCGGCCCCGGTGGTCTTCACAAAGCACCAAGAGTGGGGCTTTGCTGGACGGGCGCATTAGCTCATGCTTGACCACGCTGTTGGTGCACCTGCCCAGCTGTAATCACACAAGACCAGGGTCAGCAACAGAGCCGTCGGGGGCTGGGAGGGGCGCAGATGCGAGTCCAAGGCGGACTCTGAGGGCTCCGTCCTCTGCGAGTCTGCCAGAACAGAACAGTGAGCCTGACAGGTGGCCGCAGGCAGTGTCAGAGGGTCCACCGCAGGTGGTTAACTGGGTGAACCGAGGAAACATCCGGGGCAAGCTGGGGTGTAGGCCAGGTACGGAGGACAAATGGACATACACCAGGCCAGACAGGAAGGACGTCGTGGGCCAGCAGTGGAACATCCTGTGAATCCATGGAGCCCCACAAGTGGTCAGGGCAGCCAGAGCAAAACACCATACAAAGGGCTACCGGTTAGTTGGCGGACAACGGGCGAGTGTGGCTCAGGTGCACCCCCACAGCGGCCTCAGGCCCCCCATGACCTGCCCTGCAACGGCTCAGCTGACGGTGCCCCCCACCCCCACCAAGTGAAGCAGACTCAGCGAACAACAAGGTGCAGACCCACCTTCCCTGACCAACGTCTGCTCCAGTGGGAGCAGCAAAGACAAAGCACACACTAAAGCTACGAGGCGGAAACCAGGAGCCGTCTGAGGAGACTGTCAGCGTGCCCCTGAAGAGAGAGACGTCATGGCCATTCCCACACTGGAACAGCGGGCTACAAGGAGGACACACTTGGGGAAGAATGAGCTCTCAGAAATTAGAATTAAGGTGGAAGAAAGGGAAATTTCTACAGAAATGCTGGAAGAAAGATGGGGAATTTTCTGAAAGTGAAGCAAACAGACAAAAATTTGGAAAATGGAGAAGAAAACTGGAGGCTCCATCTAGGGGACCTAAAGTAAAGGTAAAACGGAGAGAAGGCAAGGGTACACCAGCTGGAAGGACGCGCCCGTCCCTGCTTGTGTGGGAGGCGGCGGCAGCGGGAACACCACTGCGCTCCCAGCCGGGGAGCGGGACCGCAAGCAGGAAGCCAGCCCAGCCGTGCCGCGAGCGCTGCACAACAACAGAACAAAGAGCAATCCCAATATAAAAGGAAACGTGTCCAACACAGAGTTCCGGACTGACAGAAAGTATTTCCAGAATACAAAGTCTCGGATATTTATCTCCCCAGCAACCTTTCGTGAGAAGCTACCGACAGTTATGCACAACCAAGACGAGAAAGTTATGACCCAGGCAGACTTGACGTGCTGAAAACGCCACAGAAATGTGCAATTCCATCGGTCCGGGACTAAATCTGTAATAGGTACACAGAAAATAAAAAATGAGAAAATTATTAACTCAGGAAAATAAAAAGTTGTTTAGCAGAAGAAATGTAATCCAAGCATGCCTCTGGCTCAGCCGTGAGCATTTCCATAGTGTGTTATGAAAACCACAAATACAGTTTTAACCAAAAATGAAAACAGAATGCAGACTGCAGGTGAGGTAATGAGAAAGGAGAGTACCCCTGCCACAGTCAGAAATCAACAGGCAGGATCTCTTAAGCAGACAGTCAAGAAATGACAGCAGAAAAGTGGGTTATGTAAAACTATGGAAAAAAATTTAAAATACAAGGAAAAATTCAAAGAGGTCAAAGTGGCCGTCCCAGGGGAGGGAGACCGGGAGAACCAGCGTGAAGAATGGGCATGGGCAAACAGCAGGAATTCTGAGACTGACACGCAGTCAAGCTGACATCTAACAACATCGTGGACATTTACAGTTATCAATAACAAGCAGGAGAGGAGATGCTGCTAAACATGTGACTACAAACAGGATGATCCTGCACAGAGAATCATTTGGTCCAGGGCGGCAGAGGTGCTGCGGCTGAGGGGTTCTGCTCAGGAGTCTGAGCACACGGCCAAGAGCCAGAGCAGGCTACACAAGGAGACTGGGAGGTGGCCCGATGCCACACAAGCACACCAGGAATGTTAGAAAGTCAAATAAAAACAGTAGAAATAAAAAATATGGAAACAAATAAATGCATATGACTGGCTCGTGAGCATACTCCACAAGGAAGAAATTACTGAATTGAAAAAGGTCAATGTAATTAACCCAAACCTAAAATAGAAACAGAAAAAAGAGCAGAACACCCACCGGCTGAGACAATATTGCATAAGCTGACGTACATATGACCAGAGTGCCAGACAGGGGAGAACAGCCAGGCTGAGAAGTTAAGGGCTGCCAGGCGAGAAGGCTCGGGAACAAGCAGGCAACAGATCAAAGTCCAAGAGGCTCAGAGAGGCTGAAGGAGGATAAGCATCGAAAGGGAAAGAGAGCCAAACCATGGCACCCAGGCCCAGAGACAGGAGAAACCCTGGAGCAGCCAAAGAAAAACTCAACATCACAGCAGAGGAACAAAGATAGGAAGGGAGGCCAGCATCCTCGTCAGAAACCATGGAAGTTGACACAGCAGCAGCCTTTGCAGGTGCTGAGAGCTCTACGCCCATGAAAATACCTCCCCAGACGAAGGCAGAACAGAGATGTTTCCAGGCCCACGGAAGTGAGAGCACTCGCTGTCGGTACCGAGCTGTGCATGGGGCGGCTAGGACAGGCGCGTCTGGGGCTCCGACTCAACAGAGGGGGGGCGGTCCTGGGGCAGGGTCTGAATGAAAGTCAACCAAAGACTACTTTGATGTTTAAGCAATCTGAAAGACAACTATTTAAAGCAAAAATAACAGCAATACCCTGTGGTACATATGAAATTAAAACGCATGACAAAAGCCGGGAGGGAGGATTTGGGACCACATTACCGTAAGATCCTTACACCACGTCAACGGGTGTGGCATCGAGTGCAGGTACGCTGGAACAAAGTACAGACGCGTGCTGGAAACCCTGGGGCAGTCCCCGCAGACATCAGAAGACGTACATAATAAAGCCAATAGTGGAATAAATTGGAATCATAAAAAAATTCAATCCAAAAGGCAAAAAAGAGAGAAAAATGAGTAACAGATGACAATAAGCCTAACACCGTGAAGATGTTAGATCGTAGCCCAACTATAGCAACAATGGCATGAGGTGGGGATGGTCTGAACAAGATTCAAGAACAGAGACTAAAGAAATCCGCTTTAAAGACAAAGACAAGTGAAAAGTAAAAGGGTGGAAACATGCACCCTGCAGACAGTAACCCAAGGAAAGCTAGGCGCTTATGTGAGGACCAGGCACACAACGTCTCGGCACAGGTGTCTCCTGGGATTGCAGAGGGACAGCGCACCAGACGCAGGTGCACGGGGCAGAGCCTCCACACCGATGGGTCTGGAAGGAGAAACCCATGTGGCTGAAGAATCTAACACTCCTCCCTCAGCAACAGAACGGACAGTCAGAAAAGCATCGGACGACCCGAAGAGCAGGTTCCTGACAGCAGTGGGGGTCACGTGACTATACACACTTGCCAACACTCAGAACCACACACAAAAAGGTGACTTTTACTATGCGAAGTGTACCTCAATAAGCTGCGTGACGAAGAAAATAAAAAGACAAAGGAGCTCGTTTTGGGAAGGGCTGCTTGCTAGCAACTAAATATGAGATAGGGAGACCACAAAACAATTTTGGGGAAAACAGCAGTGGCCTAAAGATTTCCTGGAATCCCACATAAAATAGCAACTAGAGGGCAAAGCCACAACCCGAAGACAACATTTACAACAAAATCAACCGTGGCCGCAAGACTCAAGTGTCTGCAGGCAAACCCCATTCAGCCACGAGACACATGAACACTGGAGCAGGAGGGGGAGGAAGACAGAGGTACTGTCTCGTGGACCCCAGGACAGGGACAGTGAAATACGAGATCCTCACTGGGAAACCCCGCAGGGAGGCCTGGGGCCAGTGTGGTCCAGCCTCCAGGAAATCTCAAAGCCTTGGGCTAACGTCCTCCTGAAGTCTTGCAGAGGCAGTGAGAAGAGTCTGATCATCTCTGCATTAAGCTGCAGACGTACAAGGAGGACAGAGGAACAGCTGAATAGCACCATGACTGCAGGATCCATAAACTCCAGGTGATGTGGCCACATGGCCCGGGTTGTTCCATAGAAAAATTGAAAGGAAAAGAAAAGGAGGGGGGAGTATGTGTAAATTAAAAGACAAAAGGACAACAGTGTCTACGGGTTTACATATGGATGGTAAGGGTGTTCAGAAAACACAGGGAGGTGAGCACTACAGATGGCAGAATGGGGGCCATTCAGGCCCCAGTCAGATCCTGAACCTTGGTGGTAGGTTATCAGGGTGTTCGCCCCAGACAGACTCATGAGACCAAACACCGGTCTTGTATTGTTTTCTGGATCTCTGTTTCGTTTTACAACACACTTGAATACAGAAAAGACCATGAGTCCCTAAGATGCTAAAGGAAAGGAGAGAGGGATGGGAGGGGGGAAACACAATCAAGCCCCCGGGAATGTTAGGACACCAACTCCTTACTCTGAAAAATGGGGGAAAAAACCAAGTAGCTATTTATTCTGTCTATCCAGTGTAAAGTGTGTTTCTGGGGTGCCACATAGCCCTAGCAGATGAGGGGAGCTCTTCTGTGTCCAGGGGTCCAGCCAGAAGCTGCAGAAGGGATGGCAGGCCTGCAAGACTGCCATTTCTACCGTACTTCTGGGGTCCTGCCTTGTCCTGTTGCTGCAGGGAAACGAGCTCGCTTACTTCGTGGTCCACACTTTCCGTAGCCATGCACTGGTTGTTGGCCAGAGTGGTGATCTCTCGGCTTTTCGGGGTTTCCATCCGGCAGCTGCAGAGGGGCACTTCCTGAAGGCCATCTGTCTCCACCACGTCGGGACCATTGGCCAGCCCTGAAGTCACACAAACACACGTGAGTGTCACCAACAGCACAGCACACACCCAGACAGGCTTCCACACCACATTCAGTGGCACGAAGTCCCCATCTAAAGACGGCAGTCCAGAAAGCGACCAATGACATAGTCTTTCTGGAAACCTCACGTGGGAGGAAAGAAAACGCCAACTACTTTGCTGGCACAAGCACCGAAGCGCAGCAGGAGGGTCCGCCCGCCTGTCGAGCGCCCGCTGCTGGCAGGACTGAGAGGGAACCTCTCCCACTAACATACCAGCAGCCGGGCTCCCAAGAATTACTTGGTAATCCATGTTCTCAGGATCCAGGACCTAAGTTCAGAAAGAGACTATACCTTCATTAGCTACCTCTAAATCCTCTGGTTTTCACACAAAAAAGCATTTAATACATGTTAAGACCTTGCTCTCCTCACTTGGTTTTAGAATTGCAGCCACAGAAAGAAACATTCGATTCCATCTGGGTTTACTTACTACCCAGGATGTTTGCTAGACTGAGGAGGGAAGAGCTGAGGGACGCTAGGCTAACAGTGACAGCAGTAAGGAGGGTGGTACATCTTATCTCCCTCTCATCCCCAATTTGCGGTGAAGACACCAGGGGAGGGGGGCCTGCAGCCCACACGTGAGCGCGGCCAGAGCCAGGCTGGCCTCGAGGGGTGGGGGTGCAGGCTGGCTGCCAGAAAGACCCCTCAATCCAACCTGGCAACAGGGTCCGGCTGCTTCCAAAGGAAGACAACATTTCATGTTCTCCTCTTGTGAGACAGCCAAAGTAGAAACATAAGGTGATCGACATCTCCAACGCTCGCCATTAGCTCTCTTAGTTAAGAAGAATGGACTCTTGGGGCGCCTGGGTGGCTCAGTCAGTTGAGTGTCCAACTCTTGATCTCAGCTCAGGTCATGATCTCAGGGTCATGAGTTCAAGCCTAGTGTGGAGCCTACTTAAAACAATAAGAAAAAGAGGGGCACCTGGGTGGCTCAGTCATTAACCGTCTGCTTTCGGCTCAGGTCATGGTCCCAGGGTCCTGGGATCGAGCCCCACATCGGGCTCCTTGCTCCGTAGGAAGCCTGCTTCTCCCTCTCCCACTCCCCCTGCTTGTGTTCCCTCTCTCGCTGTCTCTCTCTCTCTGTCAAATAAATAAATAAAATCTTAAAAA